ATGGTGAATAATTAAATGCTTCCCCTTATGATTGGAGACCAAACAAGGATGTTCACTCTTACCACATCTGTTCAGTGTTAATAGTGGCGCACAGTGAGGCAATGACCAGTGTACTAAAGCAAGAAAAAGAAGTAAAATGTAGTGTGGGAAGGAAGGATTAAAATTGTAGCAGACAGTTGGAAATTGAAATTAAAAACAAACCTCCATGTGTAAAATAGCATCAAAAATATGAATTGCTTAAGGATAAATCTGGTAAAACTGTGAGACTTACAATAGAAAACTATAAAATATTGCTGATAGAAATTGACCTAAATGCACGGCAAGATATATCTTGTTCAAGAGAAGACTGTTGTTATGCTATCATATCATCACTGTGACAAACAGTATGTCAAATATTAAGCTCCCCAGTGGGATCCCCAGAGTCAGCATAATCCTGATGAAAATCTTACCAGGGTTTGTTTTGTAGAAGACAACAAGCTGATTGTACAATTCATATGGAAAATTCAAGGGGCCTAGAACAGCACAAGCATGATGATTTCAAGACTTACAGTAAAGCTGTGGTAATTAGGAGAGCGTGGCATCAGTGTAAAGATAGACAAAAAGATTTATGGAACAGAGAATAGACCATCCAGAAATACCTATCTGGCATTGGGCTTCAGACAAAGGAGGAAAGACAGAGAGGAGAAGAGACGTCGGTTCAACAAACAGTACCAAAACTATTGCAAATATCCCTGTGTAAAAAACCGATCCATACCTGTCAGAAACCTGAATTAACTCAAAATGCTTCACAGAAGTGAGTGTAAGGCTTAAAGCTATAAAACTTCTAGAAAAAAGTTAAGCCAAAGATTTCTGAGACTTGACACAAAAAGCAGGATTCATTCATAAAAATTCAAGAATTTAGATTTCATCAAAGTACAAACTTACACTTTCCAAAATATACTATTAAGTGAATGAAAAGATAAGCCACAGACTAGCAGAGAAGCACTGGAAAGCATGTATCTGAACAAGGACTTCCATCTGGAATATATAAAGAACTCTCCAAGCTCATTTAATACGAAATAGCCCAGTAAAGTAACACTTCACCAAAGAAGATATGTGCATAGGAAATAAGCACATTTAAAAAATGCTTAACATCATTACTTCTCAGGGGAATGCAAATTTAAGCCCCCATGAATTATCACTATATACTTAGTAGATTGACTGAAATTAAAATTATTAAAATTAAAATACTAAGTATGGGAGAAAGTGCAGAGGAGCTGGAAATACACACTGCTGAGGGGCATGTAAAATGGTATATCATCTTGGAAAACCGTTTGTCAGCTTCTTCAAAAGGTAAATGTCAGATGATCCAGTCATCCCTCTTCTAAGCATGTACCCCTGATAAATTCTACATCCTTAAAAGGACTTGCACATCAGTATTCATAGCCCTTCTATTTGTTAAAGCCAAAAACTGGACAGAGGGAGTTGGGGACTCAAACGCAGATCAACAGCTGAATAAATAAGCAAATTGTGGTATATCCATACAATGAAATGCTACTGAGCAATAAAATGGAATGTAACCTATTGATGTATGAGCAACATGGGTGAATCTCCAGTTAGGCTGAGATAAGCCAGAGAATTAGAATGCATGGTGTATTATGTATTTCATATATAAAGCTGTGGGAAATGCAGTCAGCAAGTGGCAGGAAGTGGGATTACCAAGGGGAGGAGATGACTGGTGGAGGTGAAGGATATGTTCAGTTTGAATGTGATCGTGGTTTCACAGACGTATTCATATGTGACAGTTTAGCAGATTGTGCACTTTGTGTAGTATATGCCTGTGAATTTTATCTCAGAGCCATAAAAAAAAATATATATATATATATATGTCTCTTGTTACTTTCTAATATAAAAGTAGTATTCTACATATTTTTCTCCACCCCTCCTTTTAAAAAAGCATTCCGGAAATCATACCCTAGCAGTATATAAAATCTATTAATTTCTTTTTTTCCAGTTTCAGTTTAGTGTATTCAGCAACTTTTCTATTAACGGACATTTTGGTTGTTTCCAGTCTTTTGTTATTACAAATAATGCTGGGATAACATAGTTTTGTGCATATTGTCTTCTCACCATTTGTTGTATACACAGTATCTTTGAGATCTTTGGAAGTGAGATTGTTACATCAAAAGGTAAATACACAAGTGATGGGGGGGAATGTTGCTAAATTAAATTCCCTTTCATAGAGGTTGTATCATTTTCTGCAATGATGAGCAATGCATGGGACTACTTGTTTCCCCTACATTCTCTCACCGACAGAAGTGTTGTCAGATGTTTAGATCTTGCAGGGTACGTGAGAAATTGTATCTCCGTGTAGGTTTAATTTGTAGGTCTTTTATTATGAGTGAGGCAGAGCATGTTTTCACATGAGCTATTTGTGAGCTATTCCTGGGTCTTTTCCTGTTTGTTCAGTTTTTCAGCCCATTTTTGTATAGGTTTGCTGGCTGTTTTCTTCCCTACTGGTACAGTTATTTGTATTTTAGTAATATTAACCTCTTGTGTCTAATGTTGCAAATAGTTTTTTTCAGGTTGTCGTTGGCAGACTTTGCTTGTTTTGCATTTTTTGCATGCAGGGGCTGGACAAATTTTTTAAAATAGTTCTTTGCAGATCTTTTGGATTTTGAGACATAATTGGAAAGGTTTTGCTCATTCACAATACATTGAGAAATTCACCCATGTTTTTCCTAGTACTTGTTTGTTTTCATTTTTTAACATTTAGGTGTCCGATCATTTGTAATTTATCCTTATGGAAAAAATCCAATTTTATCATTTTCCATATGGTTTATTTAGTTATGCTAATACCACTTATTAAAAAGGCTCTTTCCCCCCAACTGACTTACCATATTCCAAGTTTTCAATGCAGTTGGGTCTATTTTTGGATTTTCTATTCTGTTCCATAATCTGGATTCTTGGGTCAGTACCTTACTTTCTATTTTAATTGCAGAGGCTGCCTTCCCGTCCCCTCCCACCCCTCTCCAGGGCTCTTCGTTTTCAGGATTTTCCTGATTGTTCTTCCGAATTGACTTTACATTAAACTTGAAGACGTACCTTTAAAGATTGGCAAACATCATTTTCCCTCCAGGTTAAATGGCCCCACTTTCTTCAACTTTTAGGAGGTGTTTATGCATAATCCTTGCCCTTTCCCACAAGGCACAGCACTATAAAATACGAAACCCGGAACCAAACCCTGTCGCACCGTGCGTATTGCCGAGGCTCCTCGGGGCAGCGGCAAGAGCGAGCGCCGGCGTGCGGAGTAGGAGCGGAAGAAGTGGAGCCGGGAGACGGGGCGCTGGGGGAGGAAGCCTCGCCCAGGAGACCGAGGCCCAGTCCCGCCTGCTGTCCCCCGTGTGAGCGGCAGGACAGGTGCCCGCGGCCCCCGGCATGCAGCTACGCGAGGTCGGCGCCGAGGGGCCTGAGGGGCGGGTCTGTCCCCAGCCCGAGCTCCTCCGCGTAGTCCCCGGGCCCTTTAAATCGCGCGGTCTCCCCCAGCTCCTGCGAGACCAGCTCCTGCGGCGGTGAACCTCTGTCGGCACCTCCCTCGGTTTCCTCTGCGCAGGTCTGGTGGCTCTTCCCCGCCTCGCTCGCCTTCGGTTTCTTCCGCTGCGGCCCCGCCCACTGCGGCGCGGCCCCGCCCACTGCGGCGCGGCCCCGCCCACTGCGGCGCGGCCCCGCCCACTGCGGCGCGGCCCCGCCCACTGCGGCGCGGCCCGCTAGGCGCCCTGACGGCCTCCCCGGGGCCGTGTCTGATGACGTGTTTTCCAGGAGGCGCTGGGGGAAAGGGCCAGCGGCCGGGGGAGGCGAAGTTCGCTCCCGGTGTCCGCCTCCTCAGCCGGCTCCTTTCGGAAGGAGGAAGCGGTGAAAGAGGGGGGACGCGGTGCTGTTAACGGGGAAGCGTCGCCTCTGCTCAGCCATCCCCACACAATGGACTCAGTTCCTGCCACTGTGCCTTCTGTCACCGCTTCCCCCGGGGACCCGGAACTTCTGGGACCCCTGTCGGTGTTCTACGCGGCCCTCCTAGCCAAGCTCCTGGAGGTGAAGGCCCCACCCCCAGGGAGGGACCCCAGCTCTGGCAGGCGGGTAGAGAGCTCTGAGCCGAGTGGGCGCGCTCACCCGGCGAGGGAGAAACGAGTGGGGCCGGGCCCGGGGCAGGCAAGGCGCTGTAGTGCGGTGTAGACAGGGCCGGGGGAGTGTGTCTGAGGTTTCGTCACTTGCGCGTTTGTTACCGATTACTTCCATTTACCAGGCAGGGTTATTTCTCGTATGCGGTCACGATCGCTTTGGACCCGTTTCCAGTGACGCCCGGCACTGTTGGGGGCGGTGGGATAGATACTTGTGTTTTCGTAGAGGGCGGTGAGAGTGTAGAAGCCGGCAGGTGCTTATACAGTTGTATTCCAGGAAGCATTTAAAATAAAGGCGTTGGGTTATGTAGACGATGGTTAAATTCAGAGCAGTCTAGACCTGTTATCAGGAGCTGTATGAGCTTACTCAGCATTTGTTTTTGTATAAGAGTAAAAGAATTAAGATTTAAAATCCTAGAGGAAATGCATATTATTTGTTATTCGTTATCAATTTGGAGCCACAAAAGGTGATTATTTCTCTAGGGTATTAAGTTTTTTGTTTTATGGGGCTTTTTAACTCCTAAAAATTAGCTAAGAGGAAAGTATGATCCAGAGAGATTCTAGACATATCTTAGACAATATGATGTGGTAAAACCTACTGTAAAGTAGAAATACATGCTCAGCTTAAAGACATTTAGCTTCATGATGTACAAAAATACTTCAAGCCTAACAAGAACTGGGCTGCAGGTATCCTATCTTTATTGCCTCAGTGGAAGCAACTTAAGATGTTTGATGGAGAGGTTTTGTGATGGAGGTTCGTCTAGAATTTCTGTGGATGGTTCTTTGTGACTGCTCTGTTGTAAATTTCTTCATGGTTTCTTATTGTTTCTAATATTTCTGTTTCAGTTAGTTGCTACATTGCCTGATGATGTTCAGCCTGGGCCTGATTTTTATGGGTTGCCATGGAAGCCTGTGCTTATCACTGCCTTCTTGGGACTTGTTTCATTTGCCATTTTCTTCTGGAGAACTGTCCTCGCTGTGAGTAAACTAAACTTATGTTTTGACTCATCAAGACAAAGGATATTTTATAATCACTGGCCCTTTTGTTTCTTTTTCAGTTCCTAACGTGAACACAAATGCATGTAACCTAAGCTAGTCTTGTGAAATAATTCAGTGTAATCTTTGTTGGTAAAGACTTAGACAACATGTATATAATCTTAATCGGAAAACTTCAGTTTATGAATCTTAGGTAAAAGTCTAAAGATGAAGTGTATGTGTACCTACTTGGGTATTTATATACATTTTTTTTACCCTTTTTTTTTTTAAATTAAGTTTATTTTTGAGAAAGGGAGAGACAGAGGGACAGGGAGGGCTGGAGAGAGAGGGAGACACAGAATCTGAAGCAGGTTCCAGGCTCTGAGAGCTCATTGCAGGGCTTGAACTCATGAACTGCGATATCATGACCTGAACTGAAGTTGGACGCTCAACCTCAACCGACTGAGCCACCCAGGCGGCAGTGTACATTTATAATAGAATTGGGAACCCTTACAGCCATCTTGAAAAGCACTTAAATACTATGTATCAGAATTCTTAAAAATGTTGTATCTTTTTATTATAATACCATGTCTTATAGTCTGTTCTAAAGAAATAACCAATCATGCATTAAAAATCTTGTGAAAGGGTGTTCAATGGAACGCTGTTTATTGGAATGAGAACTTCGTACAAACTAAATGATCCACAGTAGGGGAATTGTTCTTGAACCTGCATATAATGGGATACCATGTAACTCTCTAAATGTATGTATTTCAAAGATACTGGAGCCCAGAAAATGCTCATAATATAAATGGAAAAAAGCAGAAATCAAGACAGTAAAGTGTAGGTACATGTATATTATATAAATACATATACAAACAAAAAATGCTATAAAACAAAATAGTAAAAATAGATCTAGACACTAGGTAATTTTTCAGTCTTTTTCCATCTATATCTGTTTCACAGATTTTCTAATTTGGTCATGTGTTATTGTGCTCATTAAATATCTTTTTATTTAGAAATACAGATTATGTAGTATCCAGAGAAACACTCGGATTTTTATTCCTTAGAATCTTTGTGCAGAACTGGTCTTCTGTGCTTATCTATGTGTGTACACTCATACATATTCATATTTGTGACTGTGTTTCATTTTGTTTCATAGTTATCATGTAATTGGAGAAAAGTATCATTTTCTGTGAATGAGCTTTCAGTTTCAGTTCAAGCATAACAGTTAAAGTAGCCAAAAGCATTGGATCCATGTCTTCTTAAAATTGAGTATTTTTCTGATTTCTTAGTTTTATCAGACATATCCTTGCTCATAAACTTTCTCTTGTTGCACAAGTGATGGTAAAGTCACTTAAAAAGAAAGGTCTTTTGCCTAGATTCCTGTGAAGAGTCCTCTGACCTTATGGGACTTTTCCTCAGATGAAAGGAGAAAGGGAGCATAGAAAGGATGAGTGGAAGGGGAAAAGGTGAAAATGTTTTTTATTTCCCACTCTTGTTTCTCCCATCTAAAAAATCCTAAAATCTGTTTACATTTTCACAGGGTAAGGCAGGCTGTATGTCCTAAATGGTGCTTCCCAGCCTCAGTGTTTGACTTTGGAACCATAGGCCCTGCCCTTGCTTGATTCTTGCTTCCTCCTGTCGCCTCCTGCCTCCTGATCTGGGGGAAAGAAGGCAAAAGAAGCTTAGTCTCCCATTAGCAAGGCTGTGACATTAGAGAAACAGCCATTTCTTTCCATGTTGGAACTCTGAATGCATTTTCCTATAGCAACGTTATTATAAGTGGTGTTAAATACTGTAATAATAACAAGATATCATGGATGATTTATGGACTGATTTGGGTATCATCACCACTTTGTAACTTTTGAAAGTGGAAATAACTTCTGAGTTGCAAAGACATTCAGTGATAGAATTTTTTAAAAATTGAGTAGCGCTTAGATTTTATAGCCCTGTAATCAGTGCTGCCTTTAAGGATGCTTTAGAGGTTAGTTATGTCTCTTGTCGGTGCATTTCCCTCGAGCAATCTTCTTTCCCTTTTAGGTTGATGACCACTGTCTTTAAGGGTTTGGGAAAATCACATGACTTAGTTTATTAGATCTCAAAATTCAGCCAGTTGCCAACTCCTTTTTTTTTTTTTTTTTTTTTTTTTTTTTTTTTTGAGAGAGTTTATGCAAGTGGGGAAGGGGGCAGAGAGAGGGGGGACAAAGGATACAAAGCAGGCTCTGCGCTGACAACACGGAGCCCAATGAGGGGCTCAAACTCATGAACCATGAGATCATGACTTGAGCCAAAGTTGGACACTCAACTGACCGAGCCACCCAGGCGCCCCATTCAGGTGCCAGCTTTTGATAGGATTTCAAAGATGTTTTCTGGTGCGAGAAGGAGACATATCTTAGTACAAAAATTATGCCTGTAATTTTGTTTGCTGAGAGTCTGATCATTGTTTCTAAGGCCTCTTTCTGGCTGTTCAGGGTTGTCAAATGATTTCGGGTAAAAGAAGTATTAGTTATTTAACATGAAAATACCCATTTCCAGTATTAATGTTAAATGCTTAATAAGACTTGTGCTCTTTTGGGGTACCTGGGTGGCTCAGTTGGTTAAGCATCTGACTTCAGTTCAGGTCATGATCTCACAGTTCGTGGGTTTGAGCCCCGTGTCGGGCTCTGTGCTGACAGCCAGCTCAGAGCCTGGAGCCTGCTTCAGATTCTGTGTCTCCTTCTCTCTCTGACCCTCCTCTGCTCATGCTGTCTCTCTCTCTCAGAAATAAATAAAACATTAAAAATTAAAAAAAAACAGATTTCTATAAAAAAATAATAAGTTGGTGCTCTTTTAATAGATAAAAATAATACCTTTAGTTGCAAAATGAGGTATTCACTTTAGTGCTTTTATCTATCAGAAACTATGAAGTATCACTACCCGTTAGATTTGAAATGCTTTTTAACCTTTTGTTACTTTTAATCCTATGGATTATTATTGTGAACCAAACTGTTGCTAAATTTTCATTTAGTTATGATTTACCTGTTGTATAAACTATTTCTATAATACTATCTAATACTATAATATTTCTATTAATGTTTTGACATCAAATTTCATTTTTCTTCTAGGTAAAGGATAGAGTATATCAAGGTAAGTGTTTAGGCTTATTTTATTATTTATACTCTTTCCTCAGTATGGGTGTTTGATCTGAGTCTTATGTAAGTGAGAAGTAGGTAACCGTGACTTCCGATGTCTGATTGACTTACCCCTGAACGTTTTACTAACCCAAGTTGCTAGCTTGGATGACAGAGTAGTAGATGATGCCACCAAATGAGATAGAGGAGATGAGGTGGAACAAATTGGGGGAGTTGGAAGAAGATTAATCTGATTTGGGGCAGATTGGCTTCATTGGTTTCATGCAGATGCATCACATGCAAGCATACTATGTTGATGCTAATGATTTAATAACACGGTATGTGTTTACTTATGTAGATAATTTGAGAATGAGAGATGGAAATCTGTGTGCTTGTATTTTTTGTCTCTCTTTTTGCAAATGACATATATTAGAAATGATTGTTTTCTAAGAAGAAAGGTACTTCATGAAGGGAAGGATATCAAACTAAAATATTTTATTCTATTTTCTATCTTTGAAATAAATTTAAATTGGAATTTCTCATTGAAATAAGGGTCCTTATCATATTTTTCTTAAATTTTAGTAGTATTTTTATACCCTTATTGCTATTAACTACAGGTTGCTTTTTTAAAGACATAGTAGTTATGTTAAGGAGTCCTTTTCTGTCACAGAACTAGAGAATATAGTGCTGATACATTGGGTAATTCAGTTTTATTTAGTGATCATAGTAACCTTATGGATTTCCTCTCCCTTTTAGTCACTGAACAGCAGATTTCTGAGAAGTTGAAGAATATCATGAAAGAAAATGCAGAACTTGTACAAAAATTGTCAAATTATGAACAGAAGGTATAATTATTCTTCGGTATTTCAGTATATTCCCTCATGATTCCAGCTTGGATTATTTCTTCCTGTATTATATAGTTCAGTTATTAGGGTTATTTTAAGATTTCGTTACTTCCTGCAAACCATCCAAATTGGAAGTAATCATCCTATGTATAAAGTATTGCTTTCTTCTCTACAGGATCACCTGTTCAGAGATATGTTTTGATAACACTGTGGTTTATATTTCTGAATTCTGAGTGCTTTATTTTATATAGATCAAGGAGTCAAAGAAACATGTTCAGGAAACCAAGAAACAGAATATGATTCTGTCTGATGAAGCAATTAAATTTAAGGTAAAAATTCCTTCTCTTTGTGGGATTACATTCTAAAAACAAAAGAAAAATCATGAGTAATTATGATTAATCTTAATGTCTGTTAATAGGATAAAATCAAGAAACTTGAAGAAACAAATGAAGTTCTGGATAATACAGCTAAAAATCTGCGTGTTATGTTAGAATCTGAGAGAGAACAGAATGCAAAGAATCAGGACTTGGTAAGAATTTTGCTGCAAAGCATTACTGTGATTTTGCTTTCAGACTCCCCTGTGGGGGGTGAATTACTCTTCATTTCCCCATGCTTCAAATAAAGGAAGAGTGGGAGTCAGGGGAGTCGAACCCGCATCCATCCGTCTACATAGAATCTTAAATGCTAGTACCGCAGGTTGTTATTTTCATGGCTCTAAAAAGTATTTGTGTTCTTAGCCCTGGGTAAGTGTCTTCTTGCTCGGCTTTGCCTTTGAAACATGTGGAACAACTAAGAAACCGTAGCCCAGTCAAAAAGTTCGAGTACTTTTGTTTTGCATAATCCTTTTTATTTTTTTATCTTTTTTTAAATGTTTTTTTAAATTTTTTTATTTATTCTTGAGAGAGAAGAGACAGAGTGAACAGGGGAGGGTCGGAGAGAGAGAGAGGGGGAGACAGAATTAGAAGTAGGCTCCAGGCTGACAGCACAGAGCCTGACAAGGGACTCGAACCCACAAATGAGATCGTGACCTGAGCCGAAGTCGGTCGCTTAACTGACTGAGCCACCCAGGCGCCCCTACATAATCCTTTTTAAACAAGCCTTTTAGAACAGTTTTAGAAGAGAGGAAGGTTGCAGTGATGGTTTCAGGGTTCCCTTATATGGCTTGCCAGCTTCCTCCACTCTGAGTTTCCTGGTCCCAGCTCTTGGTGTGCTGTCCTCTTTGGAAGGAAGGAATTCCATGCAGCCCCCAGCTGAAAGATGGAAGAGTATGTGCCACCTCCCTGAGGAGGCAGTATCTTCACAAATTATGTGCAATTCTGTAAGTGAGATCTGAGTATTCTGCCTCAAGTCCAACCATTTTTCAGTTCAGTCAGGAGGATTTTTTTTTTTTAATTTTTTTTTTTAATGTTTTATTATTTCTAGGAGAGAGAGAGAGACAGCGTGAGCAGGGGAGAGTCAGAGAGAGAGGGAGTCACAGACTGAAACAGGCTCCGGGCTCTGAGCCGGCAGTCAGCACAGAGCCCGACGTGGGGCTCGAACCCATGAACCGCGAGATCATGACCTAAGCGAAAGCCGGACGCTTAACCGACTAAGCCACCCAGGCGCCCCAGTCAGGAGGATTTTTAATTTAGTTTCAATGTTTATTTTTAAGAGAGAAAGAGAGCATGACCAGGGGAGGGGCAGAGAGAGAGGGAGACACAGAATCCAGGCTGAGCTGTCAGCACAGAGCCTGACGTGGGGCTCAAACTCAAGAACCGTGAGATCATGACCTGAATGGAAGTCAGATGCTTAACTGACTGAGCCACCCAGGTGCCCCAAGAGAATCTTTAAAGTGACCTTGGGGATTCCCCCCGCCCCAACCAATAGGAAAAAACATTGATTTGAACTAGAGGATTACATGAAAGTTTTTTCTTTTTTTCTTTTACCTTTTTGGTCTAGGCATCTACCACGTTACCTCACAGCAGGAAGGTTGTGGATGGCATGTGATAGAGCTCTGATTTTCTTCTTTCCTTACATCTTTACCTTCTTGACTTTGTCCTCAGCTGAAATTGAATCACCTGCTTTTACCTGATAAGTAGAGGATGGCCCTGGAATAATGTTCATCTTTTTTTTTTTTTTTTAATTTTTAAAATGTTTTATTTCTGAGAGAGAGAGACAGTGTGAGCAGGGGAGGGTCAGAGAGAGAGGGAGACACAGAATCCAAAGCAGGTTCCAGGCTCTGAGCTTTCAGCACAGAGCCCGACGTGGGGCTTGAACCCATGCACCGTGAGATTATGACCTGAGCCGAAGTTGATGATTAACCGACTGAGCCACCCAGGCGTCCCTCATACTCATCTTTTAGCATATATCCCACTCTTTCACTAAAATCTTACCACATTTTTATATGTTCTTTTTCCACATGGCAGATTCTGGAAAACAAGAAGTCTATAGAGAAGTTAAAGGATGTTATTTCAGTGAATGCCTCCGAGTTTTCAGAGGTAAAGTTTTCTGTAATATCCGCAGGATGTTAATAGGGTGCCTTAGTTTTGTTGAGGAGCAAACATTTGATTTTTGTTAGAATATGCGATAAATAAAAACTATATGATGTCTAATTGGGAAAGTGTAACATCCCTCCATCCCCCTTTGGAATTAATTCACTAATAGGAGTGTTTTGCATTAGGTTCAAATTGCTCTTAATGAAGCTAAACTTAGCGAAGAAAAGGTGAAGTCTGAATGCCATCGGGTTCAAGAAGAAAATGCTAGGCTTAAGAAGAAGAAAGAGCAGGTAAAGAAAAATTTCACATCCTAGATGATATGAATGAGGGGACCAAGTATCATTACCTCGAATATCTTTTCTCAGATCTGTTTTTAAGGAAATGAAATATGTATGCAGAATTCTATTCTTGGATATGCACAGTTAAAACCGTGCTCCCAAAATTGAGTTGATGTATGTATCCTCCATCTGTTCTGGACTTTCTGTTCTCTACAGTGTCTTCTAGCTATCAGAAGGTTTAGTCTTTGCCTTGTCAGATACCAACCAGTTACTAACTTGAATAGCCTTGGGGGGGTGATAGATTTGCTCCTTGACCAAATAATTTGGCATTTATAACCCTCCTTTGAGCAATTAACTGCTTCACTGAAGAAGGGAAGGTTACATGACCTGGAGTGTGGACATGGGAGACAGTGAGATGTGCTGGGTTCCTACTGAGAGTTGAGTTACTTGAGTTGGCTGCAGTTTTCTGAAGGATACAATAAAGTGGATCGACTTCCTGGAGAGCTCTCATGTTCTCACTGCAGTTCTGAGGGTAGGAGCCTCTGTCCCCTCCCCCTTCACCAAGGCCTCAGTCCACAGTGACAGGCCGAAGAGTAGCATGGCCCCCTACTTCCCTGTGTCCTGACATGGTCTGGCGCAAAAGCTCTAGTCTTTGGAAATTCATTGTTTTAACATTTCAGTTGCAGCAGGAAATCAAAGATTGGAGTAAATCACATGCTGAGCTCAGTGAGCAAATTAAATCATTTGAGAAGTCTCAGAAAAATTTGGAAGTAGCTCTTACTCACAAAGATGATAATATTAACGTAAGTTTATTCTCTTGAATACTTAATTCTCACGAACGCCCATAAAATCTGCTTAATTGAGAGGCTCTAATACCCCTTTGCTTTTTTTCTAGGCTTTGACGAATTGCATTACACAGTTGAATCGGTTAGACTGTGAATCTGAATCTGAGGGTCAGAATAAAGAAGGAAGTGAGGTGGATGAATTAGCAAATGGAGAAGTGGGAGGTAAGATCGGTTTCAGGGAGGTTGGGCCTCGTTTTGTGTTCCTGTTTGTAAGTGCACCAATGCTCTTTTTGGCTGAGTGAACTTTCTCATAAGCATTAGAGTTGTAGACGCAAATCACTGGACTTGGGCACACGTCTGCGTGCTTTGGGGAGGTGGGTGGCTGCGTGTGGTGTATCGGTGAGTGTGTCATGAACGTGGACTCTGTGTTTCCCTCCCACGGAGGCTGCTGTGTGCCCTGCAGCTAGAGCAGCCTGGTCGTGACTTCCCCTCCAAGTGCCGAGCACTACTGAGCAGGAGAAATTTGTCTCAGTGCCATGGCAATGACGTTTGGACTTAATGCCCATTATCTGTGTAGCTTTGCAGTTTTAAGGCCCACAGCCAGTTTTAGGAGCACTGAGGTGGTGGGAGCCGTATACTTAAGGCCCTGAGAGTGGAGCTAAAGGGTGGCAGTATTTACTGTGAGGGATAGGTGTCTGGTGTCTGGACACTTTTTCAAGTTGGATATTGCTTGCGTAGTGGGTGTTGTCAACCACACCTGGTAGCAGACTCCAGGGGAGAACAGGAGAGTCAGTCCTAAATAAGACACCTGCGGGGCACCTGAGTGGCTCAGTCGGTTAAGCATCATGCTCTTGATTTCAGCTCAAGTTAAGGTCTCACAGTTGGTAAGATTGAGCCCTGCATCAGGCTCTGTGCTGGCGGTGCAGACAGAGCCTGTGTGGGATTCTCTCTCTGCCCCTCCTCCACTTTTGTGTGTGTGTGTCTATCTCAAAAACAAATAAGTAGATTTAAAAATAATAATAAGATCCCTGATATGAGAAGAGCCCTCATCCACATTCCCTTCTGGTTTGAGTCTGGCACAGATAACCATTTTTCTGGCACAAACTAGGAATTCACTTTTTCAGTCTATGTCTCCAATTCTCTTGAAAGTCATGGAGCCTCATCGGTTTATTGGCTAATTTGGTTTTCCTTTGAAAGTTTGAACACCGTAATTGTTTCATTTTAGAGAAATCAAGAAACTATAGTTAAAAAGCAAAGGAGGAAAAAGCGACTAAAGTGTTTTGTATTTTAGGTGACCGGAGTGAGAAGATGAAAAATCAAATTAAGCAGATGATGGACGTTTCTCGGGTACAATCTTTTGTGTGGAGTACTGTGAGTGCCTGTGAATTCTCACTGTGCCCCCTTGTAAGACCATTTCACTCTTTTGGAATTTTTAGACACAAACTGCAATATCAGTAGTTGAAGAGGATCTAAAACTTCTACAGTTTAAGCTTAGAGCCTCGATGTCTACTAAATGCAACCTGGAAGGTAGGCTGCTTCCTGAGCAGAAAGGGCTGTGTTTCTTAACCCCTCTTGCCTCCTCGCCTCCCCCTAGTGTGCAAGCCCTGTGCACACATGCAGCCTGACTGTTTTGTCCTTCACAGAGCAGATAAAGAAATTGGAAGATGAGCGCAGTTCACTGCAGTCGGCCAAGGCCGGCCTGGAAGGCGAATGCCAAACCCTGAGGCAGAAGGTGGAGATTCTGAACGAGCTGTATCAGCAGAAGGAGACGGCTCTGCAGAAGTAAGGCACTCCTGCTTCGCTCTCAGCAGCCGTGTTGTGTGAGCGGATGTGTGAATCCCGGACAGAAGTCTATCTTTTTTCCTTTTTTAAAAATTTTTTATGTCTTTATTTTATTTTGAGCAACAGAGACAGAGAGCGAGCAGGGGAGGGGCAGAGAGAGAGGGAGACACAGGATCTGAAGCAGGCTCCAGGCTCTGAGCTGTCAGCACAGAGCCCAGTGCAAGGCTCAAACACACAGACTGTGAAATCATGACCTGAGCCGAAGTAAGATGCTTAACCAACTGAGCCACCCAGGCAGCCCCAGAATTCTGTCTTTTGTGAACAGTATTTGTGGGGTTTTTCCATCCGTTATTAGTAGAGATTTGTTTTTATCTCTTTCTCGTTTCCCCTAATGTGTATTTTTCTTTCCATTCCAATCAGTCAGAAATTGTGGCCTGCATGGTTCCTGGGACCAGTGGTCATGGCCGTGCCCGCCTGGTGAAGACCCGCTGCCCACTCCCCGCTCCCTGTCATGGCTCCACCATGAGCTTCTCTTTCCTCTTGTGTGGCATTTAAGTAATTGCGATCTGACCTGTGTCTGGTCTGCTACTTCTTAATCTAGCCTCTCAGAATCCTGAGTGACTTGTAGGACATGAAGTTTAGTGCAGTAAATGCCCCGGAAGGAGTAGTTACATGAGGGCAGCCTAAGGTTTGGATTTACTTTAGTCAGATGCTCAGATTAAACTGTACACAGGTGATTGTGACAAGGACGTTTGGAGCTTTAAATCTAGAAGCACCTGATTGATGTTTATGTTTAGGTATCGACCTTCTGAAATCTGTATCTCAAATTTGGAGTAGACGGGTCTTGTGAAAGGTACACTTTGGCAGTTTATTTTCTGTTTTCTCCACAAAATTACCCACGTTATCTCAAAAAACCTTGTCAGCGGCGGGTGCCCCGGGGCTTTGCTCCTGTGCTGTACTCTTCGGCGTGTCTGGATTCTCTGAAGCCTGTCCTGCTAAGCACACTTCATCATTTTGAAATTTAAGCTCAATATTGCCTGATGCCATCGAACATGGAAACCTTACCACTGATGTTTTCTGTAATTCTTGGCTTACCACACAGTTTAACTGTTTTCCAAATTTCGTTCAGGCCAGCTCTCCAAATACCTGGCTTGTTTCAGAGAATTACTTCTCATTACATTACTTTTGTACAGAGTGCTTCTGTGCCACCGGAAGTAATCTCAACGTCCTAGGCGGCAATTGTTTTTCTTGACGATAGTCACTGTGGCACTATTTTTTACTCTGTTCGTCCGACATACACTGAATCATCACGCCTGGTTTGTACCCTGCTCTCTGTCCCGAAGCCTGTTAGTCGAGGCCCCTGTCCTGTTTCATGCCAGTCCCTGACTCCTCACCTTGCCCCACTTTCCCTTCCTCACACCCCCTCTTCCAGGCTCCGAAGAATACACTCGCAGCCCAGAGTGAGCTTTCTAAAACATCAGTCTGCATGTCCTCCTGTACTTAGAATCTATGAGAAACGCTCTACTCTCTCGTGCATTGGTTCTGGACTCCTTCACAGGCACGCAGGGCACCCTCTCAGCTGTGGGGAGCTGCCTCTCCAGGGGCGCGTCCTGCCCTGCAGCCGCTCAGAGCCTTGCACGCTGCCGTCCGTACTCTGTGCACTGCTCTCTGCGGCAAAATGTCCTTGGACAGTATTTCCACCCGGTGGTCTCTGCCCACCGAAAGGTTTATGTCCCTTCAAATCTTTTCTGGAGTGAGTTGCAGCAGTAAATAGGCAGCTGGAGAGACTGGGTGAGTGTCCACTTTTTCTTCTAATGGAACTCCTAAGTATATATTCAGATTTAAATCTTTGATGGCCTGTTCTGTGTTTCTTCCATCTTTCTGTCTTTGGGGTGTTTGACTATTTTCAGTAAGTGCCTTTCCCCTGTGTACGCTGGGTAGTTACAGGTTGCTGTTCCTCTCTTCATCTAATTACCCGAAAGCCCACACCATAAGTCCTGAACTTGTCAAAGTCTGACCTACGTTAATGGATTTACCCCTTTGTGGGCTTTAGCGCCTGCCTTAGATGCTGTCCAAGTAACTCTCCAAACGCCTACCCTCCACGGAGGTTTCTCCAATCTTGTGGCAGCGCTTTCTGGCCAGTGTTCGTTCCACCAACGCCCATATTCATCGTTCTGTAGTTCTTTATTGTCTGCACACCTGCAGTCTTTTCTTGGGGGTCATGTTCGTTCTGTTTGATGGACGTCCCTTGGTGGCAGATTCGATTGGTGTGTCTCTGTATGAACGTGTCTCTGTTAGGCCCCCCGCCCCCTCACGTGCACAGCTGTCTAATGTCATCACTGTAGAAACAACCAGGTACTTGTTGGTTTTATAGTCTCTGTGAGGAGTCCAGATCAGGCTTCTTTTCCTTGTTCACCTCGCCCTCGCTGCCCTCAGTCATTCTTTCTGGCTTTTCGGCAGCTTTGCTGGGAGGTGCTCAGGTGTGGGCGCCCGTGTCTCCTTCCCTGCCCTCCCTCCATCTTGTGTGCATTTATGCTGCTCGGGGCCCTGGGGACCTGACCTCTTGGTTTGGGCGTCTTGGTGTATTGATTCTGCCTCATTCTCTCTTCAGATTCCACTTACGCTGCTTTTTATTTTTTCTCGTGTCCCCTACACTCTTACCGGGATTTGCTTCGTTCTGGATTGGTTTTTACCTGCCCTGTGTCCCAGTGTGCTAGAGTCTCCCCCTGCATGTCCAGTAGGCTGCTGAAATCATTCAGTTCTTCATGTCAGTTATTGTGTTTCAGTTTTATAGTTTCTGTTCTGCTAAAGTCTGTAATTTTCACTTTTACTTTCTTGAATATATAAGGCATCATAATTATTTTGGAGTGTGTGTGGCTACCTGATGGATGCATCCCTCTTGTTTTTTAGATTTTGATCACAATGTCTTGTGCGGTGCCTGGTTAGTTTTGACTGAGAGGCAAAAGTCGTGTATGATGATTGTGAAGGGAAGGAGAGGACTGGGATGATGTGATTTTTCTACAGAAAATATGGGAGTTTATTTCTAGCACGTGGTTATTACTTCACTCCAGTCAGCAATTCACATCCTTCAAAAATGTTCTCATCTCTTCAGAGGACACCGTTTTGCCTGCAGAGGACACTGCATAGCTCTTTCAAGTCTCAACCCAAACTGCGGGGCTTTTACTGGGGGTCCCCCTCATTGGCAACCTTGAACTCCACTTTTTCTTTGAACCCAGGGTCTGTTGAAAGCTCTGCTCAGTCTCCTTAGGTCTCCGTTGTCTTCACTTCATGGAATGAACCTGGGGAAAAGGTGGCTTCAGATACCAGGCTTTCTTATAATTCTGAGATTCCTTTTTCTCTTGGTACTTGGCCTCATATATTCACTTGTCAGCTAATATGTTAGCTCTCTGATGTCTTCAGGAACATTCTTTTTGCTTTTGTCCGGTGTTCTAATTGTTCTCCGTATTCTCAGACCAACTTCTTCATTACTGGGAAAAATACTGATGTTTCCTTCAAGACTCCATTTTCTCACATCTCTTCCTAGCCAGATGCAGGGACTTTTCTCTCATTATGTGCATCTTTTACACATTAAACTGTGAGCTCTGTTAGTGCAGGGAGAGTACTTTGCTCATACTTTTGTCTTAGCGTCTTACTAGGTAACCAGTATATTATAGCCACTCATACAATATTTTGCTGAGTATTAGTGGGCAGTTATAAAAGAATACATAAGCCTTTTTTCTCTGTACTGTTATTAAGCCTTTTAACTATAGCTCTTCTCATTTTGCTTCAGAAATTTAAGTTTCGAGTTAAGTGTCTTTTGAATTAGACTATGGGCAAAGATGTACAAGGGTAACGAGAGAATAGCATTTCTATTTATATATATGTATAATTTTTTTTTTTGAGAAAGAGAGGGCTCAAGTGAGCGAGAGGGAGAGAATCCCACGAGGGGAAGAGAGGCAGAGAGAAGTGGGGCTCACCAGATGCAGGGCTTGTGATCACCCAAAGCGGGGCTTGAACTCACAAGCCATGAGATCATGACCAGAGCCAAAGTCTGATGCTCAACTGAGTGAGCCACCCAAGTGCCCTAAGAATAGCATTTTTAAACCTTTAAATGTTGCTAGCGTTGGAGTTTATTTTACAGTACATTGGTATCTTGAACTTGAAGGTTAATTGGGTTAAAACCAGTTTCCAGTAGGTAATATCCTGATTAGGCAACATCTGGGATTCTTTTCCTATTTTATTCACTAGACATGGCCAATTCTGAGATTTTTCTCAAATCACAGTTCCATTGAAATAGGGGTAGGAGTTCCCTATCTGAAGTGTAGGAGTGTTCTGTGGTTAATTGCACAGGTTAGAAGATGGATTCTAAAAGGCTTTCTTTGGCTGACTTACCGTACGTACCGTGGTGCCCATCTTGGATTGAGAAGCAGTCCTTCCATGGTGGAAATAAAGGAAGTAATTATAGTTCGTTCTGTGGTAGAAATAAGAGAAGTGATGATCTTTTGCTTTATGTTAAGCTTACTTGTGTGAGGTTGGCTAGCCCGGGCCTTCACAGCAAAGTGAGCTTTCACGTTACGCACAAGGAACTTGCCCCTGGGCATGTAGAGTTTCTGACATTTCTTTACTAGTGACTGAAGAATTAGGAGACGTTAGAAAATGCAGGTGATTGACTTTTATCCTTGAATGTCAAGTTTGAATTCCCTCCTGACTTTGTACGTCTGCCGTGTGTTTTCTGGAGGAGGGAGGTGATGTTTGCTTGGAGGCATTCAGCCCACTGGGAAGACTGAAACACTTTCCACTGACGACCGATTTTGTCTTAGGAAACTGAGTCAGGAGGAGTTTGAGCGGCAAGACCGAGAGCAGCGGCTGTCAGCTGCAGATGAAAAGGCACTTTTGGCTGCAGAGGAAGTAAAAACGTACAAGTGAGTTCAGCTTCAACAGAGGGGTCAGCGGCTAGGGAAAGTACTGTTCGCTTCTTAAAAAACCATGTTGTGTAGAACAAAATTAGCAAAGAACATAAACAAATGGTCAGAGGGTGTGAATACAGTTAATTCACATGAAAGAAAAGAAAGTTTAAGTTAACAAAGGAAAGAAGTCCTGTAACAGGCATTTGTTCATGCCTAGTACTGGCAAGACTAAAGGGGACTTGGTTCGTGCCAGCAGTTCCTGGGGGTCTGTGTGTTGGAGTGACTGTTTTAGGAGGGCCGTTTGCTGTAATGATGTAGCAGAAATCACTAAAGCGAGTGTGCCATTTGATAGACCCGGGAGTGACCGCTCTGGGACTCTCTGGCTGTATTTAATGGAGGGAAAAGCTTTATGGAAGAAGACAGCTGTAGCAGGATTGCTTGAGAACACTGAAGAGCAGTCAGGTATCAACTCAGTGTATCAACTCAGAAGCTCCAGGCATTAAATAATAAGGAAATTAGTATTAGTTTCGCTCCTATTATGCTCTTACCGTGACCACGTGACTGTGTTCCTCCGTGTGGACGGAGCTGCAGGAGGGCAGGTGTAGGGAGAGGGGGCGGGGGAGTCTGTTGAAACTTTTCTTAAATTGCACTTTAATTGATAAAAACAAGTGTGATTCTTAGGCGCAGAATTCAAGAAATGGAGGATGAATTACAGAAAACCGAGCGCTCATTTAAAAACCAGGTAATTCCTGTACCGCCCAGCAGCTGCAGAAGTCTGTGGTGTCCAGGGGGCTGTCGTAGCGCCTGTCACAGCGTGTCCCCGAACGTATCTGTTGGTGTGTTGTCTTTTTCAGATCGCTACTCATGAGAAGAAAGCTCACGACAACTGGGTAAGATTTGTTTTTTCTTTCCTTTATTTGGTGTGTGGCCACCGCACTGATCCGGGTCTTGTTTCCTCCAACAGCTCAAGGCTCGCGCTGCAGAAAGAGCTATGGCAGAGGAGAAGCGGGAAGCCTCCAACTTGAGGCACAAGTATGTGATGGTCAATGTTTCTTCAGTGCGTCTTAGGGATATTAGAGGCCGTGCTTCCGGGTTATCTACTCGGGAATTTGGTACCTCACAGTTAAGTCCGTTTTCCCCCTGCCTCCCAGGTTACTGGAATTAACCCAGAAGATGGCAATGCTGCAGGAAGAGCCGGTGATTGTGAAGCCGCGGCCGGGGAGACCCAGCGCCCAGAACCCTCCGTGGAGAGGTAGCGGCAGTCAAGGTTTTGGTCACAGTGTATAGAAATTACATTTTATTTCTGTGTGTCTTAGTTACGATGCCCTAGAAGCAATCCCAGGAACTTAGTAAAGACAGGTTGCGTCCGAGTGGTAAGAGTGCACTGTCCTCGTCAGGTCCTCTGAGCCAGAACGGCTCTTTTGGTCCATCTCCTGTGAGTGGGGGGGAGTGCTCCCCTCCCCCGACGGCCGACCCGCCTGCCCGACCGCTCTCTGCTACCCTCAGTCGAAGAGACATGCCTAGAGGTGAATTCGGTGAGCACTCACATTTTACCTTGCAGTACACTGATCCTAGAGGCTTTTCCCCCACTTTTTATTTGAAAATTCTAATGCAAACAACACTTTAGAATATGGGTCTGTCTCGTATAGAGAAAAAAAAATTCTTAATATGTCTTGGTGAATAAATAGTCTGCTGTAAGATCTGCTTTAGAATAGAAAGCATTTATTAACATTAATATAACATATAAATACATAAATAAAATCTAGAATATGTGATGATAAATATTTTTTTGGTTTTTAATTTTTTACTGCAAAGTATAAGCTTTTATCTTTAAATTTCTATGGGGTTCCTTGCTTGAGTATTATAAAAATAGCTATAAAAGACTTTATAATTTACACAGCATACATCCATTTCTCATTAATATACCATGCTGTGTAGCCTATTTCTTACAAATACGTTTCTAATGCTTGGTGAGATAGGCACGTCAGATGACACAGGCCGGAAGATATCTGTCCGGCTGCGTCAGGCCTGTAGCTTGAAGTACCTGCCTGGTGCTGTTAATATGCAGGTTTTACTGCTGCTCTTTCTGTCAGAGTTCGTTTTAATTCTTTAAGTCTGTGAGTCAGTTTGGGATTTCCCCTCATATGTATTAGGAGACCCGTTTTTAATGTTGCTTTCTAGGCGGACTTGAACCCTGACTTCTCTACAACTGGTTTGTTTGTTCTGAGAAACCCACACAAGGGCTCTGTTCTTTCTTTCTCAAGGATCAGTGGACGGGCCTCCACCTCGTCCTCGATGGTCATCTGAGGCGTCTGGGAAACCCTCTGCGTCTGGTAAGGGATCTGAGCGTGCTCATAGTCCAAAATCCAAGGATTTCTCCCTCTTCCTCAGGGTGTATGTAAGTCAGCATAGATCTAAGTCCGTTCTCTGGCCTCCAGTAGATCCAGGAACTGGTGCGGCTCCCATGATGAACAGCGGTTCAAGGAGCTCTTCCCCAAGTAAGGGGACGGATGAAGGCAAGGTAAGCTGTGCAGGTGTTCTGAGTTGTAATTAGGTCGGTCAGGAAACACTGAGCTTCTACAAGCCCTCGCTCTGTCATCCATCTGTGTGTCTGTTATATCTGTACTGTCTCATTTTTTTAAAAAGCAAACTGTTTCCCAAGACCCCGAAGGCCCCTCAGCTCCCAGCATTCCGTCTGTGGCTGAGCAGTCAGCAGTAGTAAGTACTTGGAGGCTGAGGACGGAACTGAGCTTTGACTTGACGTGTTTCTGGACAGGACAGGACGAGCACGACACTAACCTGCTTTGCTTTAAATTGCATGGCAGTATTGAGCTTACTGTTGGCTCTGACCTGAAAGTGTTGCCGGGTTGCCGGAATCTGACTGCTTGGTTGGTTTTTCCTTTTTCCTGTTTCGGTTAGGCTGTTCACCTGTTTAGAACATCTCTTATAACGAACTAAAGACTGCAGAGCCCTTGCTCCACCTCTGCCTTGTGTGTGCTTCAGTGTTAACTGGTCTGAGGCAAAGGAAAGGAATTCTGTGTATTATATAGAATTCACCACCACGGCAAGTGTGCTATTTCAGAACATCTTCAGGTGTATACTAGGCAGACGCTGTTGTGAATAGTCTTGACATTCGAGACTGGGAAGGGAAGAGTGTTTGCAGCAGGTGAAATCCTGAACAGTGGGAATCCGTCCTTACCTGCCGCGCGGGTTCCTGGCAGCTCCCTTCGGTTCCACTCACATGTGCGTGCTCTACCAGAGCCGCCCGGCCCGCACGGTGCTGCCCTGGGTGGAAATCAGACTGTGCATGGTGGTTTAGAATTTCCGAGTCTCCTGTAGGAAAGGAAGTCAGCATCTCTAGCAAGAAAGCAGAGCAGCACCGGTGAGTGAAGGTACATGTGGGGGCTCTGCCTGCCTCTCAGGATGGAGAACGTTACTGCTGTCGGAAAATGCTTCTAAGTTTCCGTGAAGGACTTGAGGGACACGCGTCTCTTGAGGACTTTTTGTCCACTGGCAGCTTGGAGAAGACCTGAAACCCCGCTGGAGTAGACTTCAGAGAGCGGAGGCCCCTTTGTTAGGTTAGGGAGGCAGAGGCGTGGGGTGGGGGGCAGGCTGGGAGGCAGACGTGATCCTGAATCATCTCCTGGGTTCTTACACGCGTGTGACCTTCAGCAAAATAACACTCTTGTGTCTCTGTTCCCTCCTGTTTAAAACAGATGTTCATACTTGGAGATTGAGAGATCTGCAGGCACTCTGAATGGCAGCTATTGTTACACTTGTAGAAAGTGGATTGTTCATTGCCCCTTGTCCTGTCCGTGCTTAGGATGGAAATAGTGCGCCGTTGTGGCAACGGGAAGGACGTGGGGGGAAGGGGTGCCCTAGGAACGGAGGATGGTGGTCATGGTAGGATTTCTTAGTGAGCAGTCACTTCTGGGCATCCTTCCGCGGTCCTCCTGCCGTCCCTTCGCCTGTGTGTTCCAGCACGACCAGGTCAGGGAAGCTGGTTGCTCCTGGGCCAGCCCTTTAATCTGCCTGAGCTGCCGGTGGGAGGACATGGGGGGCGGGGGGTAAGCTCTGTCACACTGCTTGTCCTTTGGACCGGTGCCTGACCTCTGCTTTGTTGGGTCTCCACTTTTATTGGTGTTGGTTTGTGTGTGTCGTACCCACGTCTTCCAAAACTTTAACTGCCTCTGCTCTGCAGGTTCCTATGGCTGCAAAAGGGCCACCTCCTTTCCCAGGGGTGCCCCTCATGAGCTCGCCCGTGGGAGGCCCTCTACCGCCGCCCACTCGGTACGGACCACCGCCTCAGCTCTGCGGGCCTTTCGGGCCTCGGCCACTGCCCCCGCCATTTGGTATGATGATTGAATGGTAGTAATTGACTTGTAGAATGTAACTCATCTTTTCTCTTCGCTCTTTGTTGAAATTTTAATAGTGACTTACAAGGTCATCTACTGAAAGGGCAAAGCAAGTGGCATACATGTTTTTCGGACACGGGAGGGGGGAGCTGCACAGCCCTCCTCTACAGAGATGGGCAGTATGTATCTCTTGTAGACCAGAGAGATTTCTAGAAAGCCAGAAATACTTCTGCAGATGGATAGAACTCCCCCTCCCAACTCAGGAGCTTACAGTGTCCTCTGGAGCCCAGACATCTAGGTCAGGAAACATAAAGCTGTAATCCTCACGATGGGACCATAGATGATAAAAGAGGGAGATTCAACCTTCCCTCCCCACACTGGGAATCAGCGGGAGGGCAGTGCTCACTCTAAGAGAAGGTAGAATTTCATTACGGGGCGGCCAGAAGGCCTTTCCCCAGGGAGGACAAGCACCGGGGTTTTGATGGCATGTTAGGTCCACGGTGAGCGACTGCCTGGATTTTTGACGCCATAGCAGACGGAGGGATTTTCCTTTACCACGTTTCCTTGTTGCAGTAAAGCCCTCATTTCAGTCTGTCTTCTTGTTGTGACACACGGTGCTTTCAAGTATAAGCCAAGCCCTTGTGAGAGAGAGAGAGATGGCAGAACTGTGGGACAGAAAGCATACAAACTCGATCAAGCCACATGCAAAGCCTGCCTGTTTCTTGGCCACCTGGCCAGCCGCTGACCCACCTCACTGTGCCTCCTCTCTGAAGTGGGGATGCCGCCACCGACCTCTAGAGTTGTGAGAAATTAAAGACTGTAACATGCCTAAAATCATCCTATGCATTTACGTCACTTTCTACTTTTCCCAGGTCCTGGCTTCCGTCCACCACTAGGCTTGAGAGAATATGCGCCAGGCATTCCACCCGGGAAACGGGACCTGCCGCTCGACCCTCGAGAGTTTTTAGCGGGACACACACCTTTCAGACCGTTGGGCTCTCTTGGCCCGAGAGAGTACTTTATTCCCGGCACCCGACTACCACCCCCACCCCCCGGCCCCCAGGACTACCCGCCTCCACCTGCTGCGAGAGACTTCCTGCCTTCCAGCTCCAGAGACGAGCCCCCGCCTGCCTCCCAGAGCAGTAGCCAGGACTGTTCACAGGCTTTAAAACAGAGCCCGTAACTGTGACCTCTGACACACAGTCTGAGAGAGAGTGACTGGGCACATTCGTTACAGTAAAGGATTTCATTGGCTTCAAAATCCAAAAGTTTATTTTAAAAGGTTTGTTTTTAGAACTAAACTGCCCTGGCAGTGTGCATTTTTGAGCCAAACAATTGAAAAATACCATTTCCCCCTAAATAAAACCACCTCATAAGCTAGAGCCTTCTGACAACCTTGAAATGTGCAATAAAGAATACCTGTGTTCTAGTTAACGTAGCGCGTAACTGCTCAATGATTTAGAGTGTCCTGAGAAATATGAACATTTCCTGTGGAAATGCTAGAATATGTATTTCCATTTATTACCTGTTTTTAGTGTACACCAGTTGAATACAGAGCAATGGTGTTTATAAGCTTGGTTTTTTAAAATATCTGGTCGCAAAGACTGTTACGCTAAAAATGTTTACTATAAGGTCATTGACTTTCTCTCCCTTCTTGAAGTTCTTTGTAGTAATAGTTCATAAAAATTTGGTTATTAGTATCTCCCAAGTGTCTGTCGATTCATTGGAATGTGTGCTCACGAGGGTTGTGCCATCGTGGACCCATGTAGACGCGGGCTGACGGAGCGACTTGTGGCTCGCTCCCCCTTGCTCCGGGGTTTCAGCCTAACGACACCTGGACACCCCACAACCGCGCGTCTTCCTCGACCTTCAGGGAGGTCCGTGGGCCCCTCTGTACAGCACTCGTGTGCCTTCCGGTGACTCTGGGCGCCTGGTTGAGAAAGGCTTCCTGAGGATGAGTTTACATCAGCCTGATGTTCTGTTACTTTTACGATTCTTGCTTTAAGGTGCAAAAAAAAACTGAACAGGGTATGTTCTGATCATAAAAAGTAAGGAAATTTCTTTTTTAAAAAGTAGAATCTACTGTTTCTCCCATACTCGCTCTGGATTTCAAGGAACAGAAAAAAGACGGGGAGAGTGTACTGCTCTGAGAAAGGATGGCCTCAGGACCAGAGCTGCTCCTGCTGCTACTACTACTCCAAACCTCAGACGGGAATGGTGGCGCTCAGATTGAAAAATACTAAGAATTTGGGATTACACCATATGTAAGTCTTAACTGTCCCCATGACTGCACCATGTCTTTTAGACAGTTTTAAGATTTAATCAAAATTAAGAAAAAGGGTGGTATTCGTTGCTTAGACTATACGCTCCCTTTCCCCGAAGTTCTGGGACGTCCTGGTACAACTGAATCCTAGACTGGGGCTTGTCACCATTAAAACATTTAATGTGCAAACACCCTGTAACGTAAAAGCGGATTCGCAGCTTCACTGCGAAACAAAGATTTTTCTTTGTACTCAACTAAGAAGTCCCACTTTAGGACGAGAAGAACCGCTGGAAGACCACCACTTCACAGTTCTCAAGGATACGGAAGTAGTTCCACAGGAAGAGAATTCATGTGTACGTCTTCCCATTTCAGATCAAGGAGAGAGGAAACGAGGAACACCTCCACAGTTAATAGCATAGGTTATTTTTAACCATGTAAAATACGATTAAGTCCACAAATGCAACTTTTGAGTATGTTAGCCTCTCAAAGACCCGGAATAATGCAGTTAATATGATTTCTAATCGTATATAGTATTAAAATATAGGCCATACCTGCTAGGAGAGAGAAGCAAGGAGGAAAGGTAAATTAGATCCGTTTTAAGATCAAAGCTAGTCTTTTTTTTTACACCTCTAAAACTTCGGTCAGTATCTATTTCTGCAAAGTCAGTAAACTAGACAATTCCAGGGCCGCTCACGGGAGCCGCTGGGAACCCGCTGTAGTCGCTGCCGGCACCGCTGCTGCAGCAGAGCTGGGCGGGGGGTGGGCACCTTTGGGGGCCTGAGTTCCAGCTGTTTCAGAAGCCAATGCCAGCCAAGTGTGTATCTGGGCTTAGTGGCTAAAACCACCTCCTTTCTGAGGCAGCAGTGCTTTGGCCTGAAAGCATTTCAACTACAGTTACTGTCCAACGTCTGAGTTTTCTCATTGGAAGGTGAGAAGTAACTTGTGGGCAGTGCTGTGTTCTGTGTCTCCTGCTTCAAGATCATCACTTGTTCTGTCATTCCGCTCAGGTCTGAATTAAAGCTCGGCTACTCAGAGCATCCACTACACTTCTTGACCACTGGTGTCAAAGGCGACTGTAACTGTAGTTACACGAACCACACTTATGTGAACGATAGGAGAGGCTTCTTCATATAAATTATCACTGACATACATGTCTTATGGTCTATAAGAAAAGAGAAAGACCAATGTATCAGTTTTGCTACATTTTAATAGTAGGTACTTAAGGGATTATTTTTTCGGTCTCGTCAGCAACATCAAACAGAAGGGACTAGATACGGCGTGCTGTCCAGCCCCTCAGGCCGTTTACACGACTTGAAGAAAATGTGGTTAATGTGGTTCTTGCTCCTGGGGGAGCTGTCGGTCTGGGGGCTGACTGCTCCCGGTCCGAGGGTTGAGGGAACAGCAAGGTAACTTATTAAGGCAAATTCTTCCCCTTGAGCTATGCTGGGCTAAATCATTTTGGGATTAATCTAATCAGGACAAGAGATAAGACTGATTTGGTAGAATTCTTCCAGGCTCAAAGTTTATAAAATCCCTCTTAAAACAACTGACAGACAACAACTGAAGGTAAAGACCAGCTTTCTTTGAAGTGCAAGAGCTAGAACACTTAATTCTGGCTACTTATTTTAAAAAGCAAACACTGAAGGTATGCCTAGGATTATTATGCTAGTTTAAAAATAGGCCACGGACCCTCATGCTAGCATTGGGCATTTAAAAATAGTGACTATTAAATATGTGGGTTCTAAATCTAACCCACAGAAAGCCCACCCCAAACCTTAATGTTCTATGTATCAAATATCTACCTCGGGTGTACTCTGGAAGTTTTATTTATGCCCCAGTAAGTCAAAAATAATGTAAATAGTCAAATTATAATAAGCTCATGACCTGCATATTTCCATATGGATGAGAGTCGATATACCTAGGAAATAAATGGCAGTCCTATCTACCTACAAGAAGAAAACCACAGAGGAGCTCCAGGTTTTTGCACGCTCCCCACTCTGAGGAGAGGGGTGCAGGCTTTAAGGTTTCACAATCAGTTTGTCAGAAAAACAGCAGTTATTCCTGCAGTATCTCCTTAGCATCGGACTCAGATTCACGTGACGCAGACGAGGTGATCAAGCCATCCAAACACCTTTGGCGGCTCAGAGGCGCCCCGCCGTTCCCCCCGGGATCCCTCTCCGAACGAGCAACGGTGCGTGGGACGGAGAAGGGCCGCTAACCAACAGGACAGCAGACGCCCGCTCCCCGCAACAATCCGGTCATCTGGAACATTCCGGCTACGACCTGGGAACACCCCCGTGTGGGAGGCTGATCTGGCCAAGGCACACGATTTCTAAACAGGAGGACTAGGGATCAGGGTGAATTCGGGCCACGTCTGAGGAGCCGCCCATCCATCTCCTGGGCAACCTCCCTGGGCGGCAAAACCGGTCCGATTCCTCTCAGGGCAGTTCCACACTTTCCCACCCACGTCAGCCCAAAGTCCGGCGTTAACTCAAACCAAAAAAGCCTCCCGGAGCAGAAGGGAACGGATGTGTAAACTCTAGCACAATCTTATTGCTGTATTAACTGTGAAGATGAGCACCTCCTACCACAGCAGTGCTGTTCCAGGAAGCAGGGCAGGAACAGTGGTAAGGTAGAAGAGGGACTACGAACGGCACAAACACTAGAAAAGTAAAAACAGGTTTCAAAACTACAGGAAGCCTGTATCCAAAGGAGTCGTCTATGCAGGCGGCGAGCCGGACCGGAACTGTGCAGACTCACTTTGACTGGCAGCGTGGGCGCGGCCTGCTTCCTGCCTGGCGGAGGGGGCTGGGCCACACGGAGCTAGGGTGGGTTCTGCTGGGGGGCGGGGCTCACAGACGGTCCAGGTTACCCACGGCAGGATCATTCCTTGTGCAAAGTCTGATGTAGATGAAGATAAAGTGGTTTCTTGGTCAATAACTGCAATTTCTTTCTTTTAAAGTCAGTGGGTTTCTTGTATCTGTAACCACAGTAGAGAGATCATGGTTTAAAACATGGGGACAGCCGACCTCGCCTAGGGTCACATACTGAGAAGAACTACGAGCCACCATTAAACTAGAACGAATCCGGTGGGTGAGTCACTTACAGTTCTATTACAATCGGCCCCGCTTTAATCTCATCCATCTCCATGAAAGCAAAGCACTTGGTGCTGGTGAACCTTTTTTTAGGCTTGTAGTGTTTGAACTCAAAGAAGATAGCTGCACCTAAGGGATTAAAACAAACCACATTAGCCTCAGAAGCAGACCGTCACCGCCCCTACATTTATTTTCTCAGATCAGCCGAAGCACACGGCCGGGCGGTGGGCAGCGTAATCTTACAAGGTAACCTTCGTCACACAATTGCTCTGATGCCACGACCGTCGTCGTCACCCAGCGCTCTCCTCCATCTGGCCGGAGGGACAGCCGTCCATGCCCACGAATCCTACAGAGCACAGCAGGGCTTCCTGAGCGAATGTGGCCTCAAGATCGTACCAAGTTCCCACCCGGGTAGAACCGTAAGCCCCTGGAGGGCAGAACCTGGTCAACAGCACAGAACGGTCGCGAAGTGTTAGCAGGGAAGTATTCACCTTCTCCACAGAAGCTCACTAAGCAGCAGAGGCCTGTAAGCGCTCATGAAAAAATCCACGCTCACGTCACTTCTCCCCCTGACAGAAGAGCTCAAAAATTCAACTTTTTTGGGTGTGTCAGAATTAAAACACAGACGGTGTGCTGGTTCAGTGTTTACCGGCTACCTATTTCCTAGGACCTTTCAGAGTATTCCAGCACTGTTCTGTTTTCCCCACCGGGAGTGTATCGGGAGACAAAGTCTGGAGAGCAGGCCACCCCTTCCCCGAGCAGCAGGCGGGAAGGAAAAAGTCACATGCTCTCATCGCCCCAAAGGTAAGTCTCACAGACCGGCTCTCCCCACGGAAAGCAGCTCAAAACGGAATGAGCTGCCTCACGGGTGTGGCCAAGAACAATTAATTTCTAACGAATGCGTGGAAACCAGTAGGGAGGCAGCTGGGGTCTCGCCCTCGGCTACGTCACTCTGCCTGAGCCACAGTGGTGCTGGGTCTTGCTTGGCTTTTAAAACGACACACGTCTGAGACCTAAACCGATGACAGAACCCACAGGTGACAAGAGGCTTAGCGATGTTCCGAAATGTGTGTGTAGCCCCGGCACCCCCCCGTCTCAGCAGACAGTGGGACGTGGCTGAGGGAGAGACAGACTCTCAGCCCTCAACTCCCCCTCCCCAGAAGTGTGACCTTCCAGATCTGCAAAAGGGTCCCTTCTCTTCTCCCTCCTACGGCAGTAAAGGGTCGTTTGGGATGAAAACCCTTACAGGTCACATTTCTCGGTCTCTGCAGCCAGGGACCTGTCTCCTTGTCGTCACGCCCGGGTCTGCGTCGGAATACACGTAAAAGTACAGTCACGTCTGAAAAGTGCTGAGGTCCCAAAATGACAGCATCCCTTTAAGGAACGCATTCATCTGCACCGTGAGTAGATGGCCTGTTTCCTGCGTCCCTGGTGGGCGCACCTCTGTTCTTCGTGGTGTTTAGAAGGAAGAGGAGAATGTGAAACGAGACTGATGAACAGAGACGAACGGATGTGCTTGTAAACGTGAAAAAAGCGTCTTCATTCGCACTTACATTGGTTGCAGCTAGACTAATACTGTCCGTCAGAAGTTCAAAGTTAGAGATGAGCAGGGTCAGACTCAATATAGCTGTGCTCTCAGCATCCTGCGGGTGAGGGCCTCGGGAGCGCAGCACCAGAACCCAGAAGTGAGCCCGCGAGATGGTCCCCGTCACTCCGTGCCAGAAACATGTCCCCAAGCAACGGACTAAGAGAATGTTCTCCGATTTTTAGGCACAAGGCGGAACTTCACACTGCGGCGTCTGCACCTGGCTCCTCGAGCGCATCCTACCTGCGTGGTCTCCTGACGATGGTTCTCAAACTCCGGTGCACCTGGCACCACGGGGAAGGGCCCCCGGACCAGGGCGCGGGGCGCACCCGGGGTGGGGACCCCGGGGCTAGGACTCAGTGCAGGAGGCCCCGCGTGGGCCCGCAGCCACCACGCAGACAGCCATTCGGGGTGGAGCAGGGGCCACGGCAGCAGTGATTCGAGGAGAACGTCAGCTGCTTTAGAGGAAGGAGCGATCCTTCAGAGGCTCTTCCGTACCTTGTACGGGCTTCTTGCAAAGCGCGAAAACGCCAAGAACCGCAAGGGAACGTGAGGTGAGAAAGGGACGGAGGCCTTTTCACAGAACATGACATCCCGCCGGGCAAGCGGCTCGGAGCGGCCCAGGGGAGGGCGACTTCACCTTCTCCAAACCTCGCTCTTGCTCCTTCCCACCCTCCTCTCAACCAAGCGACAGGCGCGAGTCCTTCTTCCCAAACCCGCGGCTGGGGCAGCCCCCTGTTCCGTCAGCCACGGGAGCCTCCCCCATCCAGGGCTGCCACCGCCGTCCGCACCTGGTTACGAGGAGAACTTCATCCGGGTTCGTCGTTCAGGACGGTGACGTTTATTATCAAAGAACATTTTATTATAGAGCTGTTATTTATGACACTAGACAATACAACGCCTAATTCCCATTTTAAAAAATGGGAATTTCGTTCAGGTCAATAAACACTGTATGGCATTTACTTCTGCCAACTGGGCGAGGTCACAGGGCACAGAGACACCAACGGGACCAGAACTGTGGCCACAAGAAGCCAATGATTTACCATCACAGACCAACCTTTGGTTAATTTCTCAACATGCTTCTGGAGCTCAATGTCCACGTTAAAATGAACATACGTATCTTCTTTCCTGGAAGCCACGGGAGTATCTTGCACGGGAGTTAGGTCTATGCCATTCAGATCTAGAGAGGAAAGGAGAATTTCAAACAGAGGCTCAAAAACTGCAAACGAACCACAGAGGCTTATGTTTCCTCAAGGGACTTTGGCAAAAGCCAAGGGGCGGCTCTCAGATGACGTAACATACACTCCCTTTGGTGTTAACAGGTTCCTACCGAGCTTCTGGTTTCCAGGGTTATGTTTCCAGGGGGCTGGGGACAGAGAGGGGGGCAGGGGCGTGGGGGGACAGACTCAGGGCCAAGGGCAAGTAAGTCCTGCCATGACTGGGTGCAAGTGAAAGTCTGAAGCAACAAAGTTTGATCCATGTTAGGAGGTGAGAAGGGCTCGTGTCTTCCTTCAGCCACTACTGTGTTGCACACAGTACAAATCTGGAACATGAATCTGGTTCCATGGTGGGGCCCCTACCCGTTTGGCAACCTTGACCAAGTGCATGGCATGGAAAGGCCTTTAATCGAACATGACCTGAATTCCCATTGTACTCAAGTCGGAGCCAAAACAATGGACATGAAAGCTGCCGATGAACCCCTTCCCTAGAGGAGTCATTTTTATACGTACTACCTGAATTCTGATTGAATCTGCTATAAAATAACCCGACTTACAACCACCAGATGGTACACTACGTGTGGTGGATGGCTTTAATTTCCTGGAGCCAGGAATCTGCCCGTTCGATCAACTTCAACGTGGACTCACTCAACGATGAGTGTGGATGTATTAGTCAACAGACTCCTATCTTGGAGAACTTAAAACAATTTAGTGGATTTGAGGATTTCAGCTGCTAAAGATATTCACACAAAAACATGTTTCCACTCAATGTGTATGAAGAACAACATGGTATCTACCGCGTCATCATTTCACGCTGTTGTTTTACAGCATACAGTCCCAACCGAGATGTGCGGTTTTACAAATGGCCTGAAAGATAGCGTCGGGTATGCGTACTTTCCAGTAGACCGGGGCCTTGATAGCCGGTAACAGCAGTGGTTCAAGTATGACAGCTTTAGTGCTGTGGGGCGTCAAGATTCTTCTCTGTGTCTGAATTTTTTTTTTTTTAATGTGCTACTCATGAGCCCATGGGTCTGAATTTACTTCTATGATTGGTAAAAGTTCCTTCCATTTGACGTCAGCCCGTTTCCTTGGTTTGCCTCAAGGTGCAGAGTAACTGTTGATGATTTGTACAGTTATTTCTGAATAATAAATAGTATGACACCATCTGCAGTCACCCAGTAATTATTTCTGAAGGGCCGCTGGCTGCTTTACAAATAAAGTACTGTGCAAAATGTGCAACACCAGCAAAAGCCTTGAATCGGTGTGGTGTCCATCTAAAACCAAAGATAGAAAAGAGCGGCTTTCAAGGAATAAATGGAATGCCCCCCTGGACAGTAGAAAAAGCAAATCCTAAAGACAGTGATGCTTAATAAGAATTACTTTTTAATGGCCTTCAGGATTACGTTCAGATAGGGGTGTTTACAGACACGTCCCACTTCCTGTCTTCACAGAGGACTCACGGGAGGCCTGATTCTCGCCCACGCCCGCAGGGCTCCCCTGTGCCTCAAGGATTACAGCAGGAAGCAGAGGACCGGAAGGCGGGGCTTGGGGGACAGGAGAACGTGGGGTTTTGCAAAGAAAACCGCACACCCTGAGAAGGTGAACGGAAGTATCTGCTGTTCAAGACAGTGTGTATATCTAGATGGAATTTTAAGAATATAGACATGTACGGGGCGCCTGGGTGGCTCAGTCGGTTGAGCATCTGGGCTCTTGGTTTCTGCTCATGTGATGATGTAATGGTTTGTGGGTTCGAGTCCCACATTGGGCTCTGAACTGACACTGCAGAGCCTGCTTGGGATTCTCTCTCTCCCTCTTTCTGCCCCTCCCCTGCTCATTCTGTCTCTCTCAAAAAGAAAAAAAAGATTTACAAAAAAACCCTCAAAAGCAACTGTGCATGAAGATTATAAACAACAAAGTATTTTTAGTAAATCTCTCGGAAATATTCAGTAAAGGAAAGAGGCCAGCTTCGCAGGGATTTTATCTCTCGGCACAATGAACTCAAATGAGTTGTCGCAGAGGCAAGAACCCATCCCCAAAGCCCTTAACATCCCAAATGAGAATCAACATTATGAAATTCACGAGAGGGGAAAATGTACACAGAGTTATTTACCCTTTACACTAACGGTAATATACGGATCGATGCACTGCCCCGCGTCCTTCAGACCAATTTTCTCAATTCTGATCGTGAGTAACGTCATTCCTGGTTCTGACGGCAGCCTGGGCAATAAAGTACCTGGCAACAGAACAGCAATAAAAGTGAGCCTCACCAGCAGCTTCGGGGTCAATGCTTCAGTAACCTAGAGAAGACAGCCTTGCTCCTACCTGACTCGGTAACTAGCCAGCCATTAATGTGGGTTTCTGAACACTCAATGCTATTCTTTTGGACAAATATTTAATATATTTAATATAATCCAAGATACATCTACACTTCCTAATTCACAGTCAACACCAACGTGTAAGTCAAGTTTGTTAAAGGTTCAACTCACTAAGTTCAGGAAGCCCAATTACAAGTTACCATATACTTAATATACTCCAACTGTATACACACACAACACGTCACATGTGCTCATATATATGAGATTTCATATCTCTATATGAAGTGGTAGAAAAAACATAGAGCTTTTTAAACTTTTGTTATATTATCCCAAAGTTTGAGAAACTTAACACCAGACTCAATCATAAATCTTTTAGTTATTAATGGGGGAAATAACTTACAATTTATTATTTATGTATTTAATTAAGTAATTTTATAGTCAAACTCCCCACCCCTTTCTGCATCCTATTCTGTACGATCTGTTCTCTTGGAAATTAATCCTGCTGAGAAGGGCATGTGCAGTGAGAGTAACCACATGCTCGAAACCTCCCATACAGGCGTATCGATGAAACTTTCTAAAACCGAAAATCCCCTAGACCCGCACAAGAGCACATTCCCAACCAAGAAAATGATCTGAAGGAAGAAATCAACTGTACCGTTTGTTAACTTATTTCAATATCATTTACAGAGAACAGAGGTGGAAAAACTGATCTGAATCTAATACGTATATAGTATCTCAAACTACAGAACCTGCCATTTATCAAGGACTTTCATTGACATGCTTCAAATTCCTATCCAACAACGCGTTATCCTAACTTTTAATGAAGAAGTATTTGAAATCTGTGAATCAATCAACCTACTACCTTCAAAACAGTACATTTAAGGGGAAGGGGGGTGATGGGCATGGAGGAGGGCACTTGTTGGGATAAGCACTGGGTGTTATATGGAAACCAACTTGACAATAAACTATAAAACAAACTAACAAACAAAAACACCAAAAAAATAGTACATTTAATTAACTGCAAACAGGCTCCAGGGGATTTTTTTTTGGGGGGAGTATAAAAATGCCCTCAAAATGGACCTGTGAAACCCTGATAAGATGCACACTATAGATCAAAGGCCACTGAACTGTACACTTCCAGCGAGTGAATTTTAGGACATGAAAATTACCACGGGCATTCAAGAGTCTTAACTGGTGACCCTTGTGAAAGAAAATGTCCAGCTCGGAACCCTAAAAGCAGTACTCAATACCACTGCCAAGTAAAATTCTAACAGTACCTTTTCACATGAAACAGATCCTTGACATTCTTCCATATTTTAACACATTTTTAAATATTCAAACGTTTTCTTATATTAAAGATAAAAAAAGGTCTCTTCCTGCATCCACCGTCTCTTTCAAATGTTAATTGTGAAATCTGACAAATATTCAGAAGAGCAAATGAAACAAGCTCACAGCTTAAGGAAACCTGGAAAGCAGGCACCCAGGGGACCGTCACTTAGGTCAAAGATAACCCTTACCCCAGCAGCTCCCTCCGACCACCACCCACGGTTCCTCTAATTCTTCTCCACTATCCTGGCTTTCAAAATACTTACTGAAAAGCACGGTACAATAATGTCTGCCCGCTTCTGCCAGTCGCTGTAACTTGCTCGCCTGAATGACTGCATAGTGCAGGCGTGAGTGGTACGCGGGGTTTATCAACACGGTACAGTGTCTGTACCCGTTCTTCCGCTGGCAGCCACTATGAGCGGCTCCAGGCTTTTGGAAATTGTTTGAACTAACACAGCTGTAACATCCTTGCACACACATTTTAGTGTACGTGAGCACACATTTGCAAAAGAGAGGGATCACCAAGTCACACGGCAGTGCCCACCTTTTTACTATGTAAAGACAACCTATGTCCAAAATGCTTGTGCAGGCGCCACGCCCAGCACCGCCCCCACACCCCACTCTCTGTGACACCCTTCTTTTTGGTCAGTTTGAGTGTGGAGAAATGTTGATCCAGTTTTAGTAGGCATTTCTCCACTGACTGACTGAGGCTGAGCCCCTTTTCATTTCAGAATGAGCATTTGGAGGCGCCTGGGGGGCTCAGTCGGTTAAGTGTCTGACTCTTGATTTTGGCTCAGGTCATGATTGCACGGTCTGTGGGATCAAGTCCCGCATCAGCCTCTGTGCTGACAGCATGGAGCCTGCTCAGGATTCTCTCTCTCTCTCTCTCTCTCTCTCTGTCCCTCCCCTGCTCACTCACTTTCTTTCTCTCAAGATAAATAAACTTAAAAAATTTTTTTAGAATGAGCATTTGGATTTCCTCTTTTCTGAAGTATCTGTTCAATTATTTTGTCCATCTTTTTTTGGAATGTTCATCTTTCTTAGCAGCATGCGAGGAGCGCCCTGTGTCCCCACCACACCCAACCCCCCTCCTCCGAGATAACAACCGTTCTTGACTTCTAACACCAAAGATTAGTTTGATGTGTTTAAAATGCCTTTCTCTGTTAATGCGGTCTTCTTATTATGACAAATTCTCAATGTTAATATATTCAATTTCTTAACTTTAAATTCCTTTATAGTCACTGCTTTCTGTGTCCTATTCAAGAATCCTTCCCCATTCCAAGATCATGAGGGTTATTTCCTTATCTGGTAACAGCCTTCTCGTTTTTCCATCTGCATTTAATTCTACAATCCGCTTTGAATAGATTTTGTCTTTGGTGTGTGGAAGGAGCCCAAGCTCATTCTGTCCACCACAGACACCCAACTGTCCCACACCACTTATTTAAGTGACCACTGTTTCCTCCATTGATCTGCAGTGCACCTTGATCACAAATCAAGCACGGGCTGTTCTGGGCTTTCCATTCTGTCTCATGGGACTGTCTCTCAAACTTGCACTGTTAAGTCATTTCTTTTTATTTTTTTAAATGCTTATTTTTGAGAGAGAGAGTGAGCACAAGTGGGGGAGGGGCAGAAAGAGAGGAAGACACAGAATCTGAAACAGGCTCTAGGCTCTGAGCTTTCAGCACAGAGCCTGACATGGGGCTTGAACTCACGAACCCTGAAATCATGATCTGAGCGGAAGTCAGACACTTAACCTTCTGAGCCACCCAGGCGCCCTGCTATGTAGTTTCTTAAGAACTGTAACTTTGTTAAAAGTCTTGACATTTGGTAAAGCATAATTTCCCCTCTTGACATTGCTTTTCAAGAGGCAACTATTATTAGCCCTTTACATTTTCCATTTAAGTTATAAAAACAGCTGTCAAGTTCTTTAAAAAAAAAAAAATCTTTTGGAATTACAGTGAAGTTCAGATCAATTTTAGAAATAGTCACATCTTTTACAAATGGCTTCTTCTAATCCATGAACTGAACTATACCTTTCAATTTATTAAAGACTTAACTTTTCTTGATAGTTTTATTATTTTCTTCACAAAGGTCTTATACTTCATTTGTTGGATTACTAGGTATTTAATATTCTATGATACTCTGACAAAAGTGATTTCATTTTCTAAGCAATTGTTGCTCTTTTATAGATAGAATCGATCCTCAAGTACAGACTGTTTTTTTTCTAACCACGCATGCTAAACGCTTATTAATCCTGATTTCTCATCTACTGATTCTTTCACATATACTATATATACATATACACACACATATACACACACACATACACACACATATAGACATATACACACATATACATCCATATATACACACATATATAGACACACACATATACAGACACAAACATACACGTTTACACACACACACATACATACACACATACACATATACACATACACACACATATACACACACACATACACACACACACACATATATATACTAACTATGAATAAAAAAAGGGATTTTCTGCCCCTACTGTTTATCTTTTATTTCTTTTTCTTGTCCCACTGCACTGGCTAGAACTTCCAGAACAATGTTAATACAAAGAAGTAATAGTAGGCACTCTTACTCTTGTCTTGTTCTTCATCTGAAAAGGAAAGCTTCAATTTTTACCACTAAGTATGATTTTTGGCTCTAAGTGTCCCTACAGAAGTGTTTTGTTCTCAGTCTGCCAGAGTTTTTTAAACTCAATAATAGATTTAGAATTTAAATATTTTCTGCATCTACTGAGAAGACAGAGATTCGTCTCAATCTATTAAGGTGAATCACCTTGATGTACCTCGCTTATTTAACACTCTATTCTCAAAAATCACTTATTACACAATATTACACTTATTACACAGAGCCTGTATGGGGCTCTGTGCTGACAGAGTGGAGCCTGGAGCCGGCTTGAGCTTCTGTGTCTCCCTCTCTCTCTCTGCCCCTCCCCCCACTCACAGTCTGTCCCTGTTTCTCAAAAAGAAATAATTGTTAAAAAATTTTTAAAAAATCAATTAGTTCAAGATGTTCCTAGTTATTATCTGCAGTGTTCTCTGTATGACAGTTTACTCAGCCAATCTACGTGAGGCATTTAGGTTGTTCCTAATACTTTACTATTACAAATAGCACAATAAATAACCTGATGTATATGTGTTTTGCTTTTTGTTTGTTTTTTTTTCAATTTATTGGAGGTACAGCTTCAGAATAAAGTCCTAGAAGGAGAATGTTGGGCCTAAGAATAAAATGTCTACTTTTGTTGTCGTTGACGAATTCCCCTCCAGAGGGGCTGAACCTTTTTGTTCTCACACCAGCAGTGAGTGTGTTCCCCACAGCCTCACAACAGCAGTTTTAATTTGTGTGTCTCTTATTATAAGTTACTTATCTTTTCATATGTTTAAGGGCTACTTGTGCATATCTGTGTGTCTGCATGTGTGTGTACACTGTCCATGTCTCTCTGCCCAATTTTCTAATATGCTTGTGGCCTTTGTTGACATAAGGTAAAGGTTTCTTATATATTAAAGTTGTTGGCTCCTTATTTGTCTTTTTAACTTTGATTACGGCTTTTTTGACAGTCAAAAGGGGACTGCTCATCCAACTTTAAAGCCAATGGTAGATTCTCCTTTTATGAAAGCCTATGTTTTTCCCAAATGAATATTAAAATTGTGTCCACATTAAAGAGGTAAATTTCATTCTTTTAGTTTCAAAACTAACTGTGTACATATACTTAGGCCTACATAAGAGATAAGTCAACACATTCATATGATAATTTTGTAACAGCTAAGCCTACAGTTGAACTTGTCAATAAGAAAATGGGTTGTAAAATCTTGAAAAGGGTGGTTTGGGCTATTTTTGAATTCATATTACTTTGGTTTACGATTTTAGTAGCTTTACTATTCAACACTGTCAATACATTTTCTGGAGATAAATAACAGGTTGTAAATTTATAGCCTTTATTTAGAGGACATCCAGCAAGCCTACCTTTAGAATAATTAAATCTCATTTTAGTTTAAGCCAGTTATTTAAAATACATTTATTATGTTTGCCTGTAAGTTTTTACATTTTTGAAAAAAGAAAGTAGTATCAAGAAAGCTAAGATTTTTTTAAGCTTTTTTTTTTTTGTTCTTCAAGAAAGGTTGGCTGGAAGTCATTTTTAATTATAAACAGGGAAAAAACGACTCTGAGTCAATACCGCCCCACATACGATACCGCCTTCGTCATCAGCCTCACTTGGTGGTGGTTATGTAACTATGCATTTCTCAGAACTCATTAAGCTGACCACTAAAAATGGTGAGTTATATACATAAATGATTCTTCAATAAATCTGACTTTAAAAAGTCACAAAAAACGTACAAATTATAAAAAACAAAGGTGACAAATAAAAAGAAAACATCACAATTCCTTGCCACCAAACTGCAGACACTGTCTAGGTGACCCTGAAATCGTGGGTTCCCACCGAGTAACAAAGAAAAAAAACGGTTTTCCTGCTTTACAATTAAGTGTTAAATGTCATCTTCCTATTTCAGTGGCGATTTCAATGAATACAATCTTATAAATTACTGTTTTAATAACACTCATCACAAACTAAATCCAGTTAATTAAACTAAATGTGCTCTTTCCTACTTTGAGGAAAAAGAAATTCAGGGAACAAAAGGTTTGGTAACCTTCCTGTGTGTCTGAAATGAGATATCACAATGCAGTATCAGGATACAAAGATCTGTTTAGCTTGGGTTTAATCTTACAGAGCAAATGGATTTAATCGATGTAGTTTCTTTTCAACTCCGCACCCCGAGCCCCACCAAGACCTTAATCTGTGTCACGTTCACATCATCTGCTCCATAAGGATCCCGTTTGCCACAGAAGTGCGTTAAGTGAGCAAACAACGAAACTGGGCTTAAATTTTCAGCACCGGAAGCGACATCAATTCCAGTATGTGGTTTGAAAAGAGAATGATGATTATTCAGTCGGTAAAACAGCAAAATAATTTCTCTCACCAGCTTGAAATTTCTTATGTAAATGGCAAAAGTAAGACAAATATCCCACTCTTCACCGAGCAGAGCAGCCTGGAAATAATGCCCTTGTACCAAGGAAACATTCACTAGGGCCTGGGATTCCCCCAGTAACCCACACACAGGTCCCGGGGCCGCCCCCTGAAGGGAGGGGAGGCGGAGTGACCGCAGTCACTAAGTACTCAGCACCGGACACACACAGTGCTCAAAGCTTCAGGCACAGTGCCATGCTTAATCTTCACGGTAACCTTCTAAGTTAGGCACCATCATTATCCCATTTTATAAATAAAAAAATTGAGGTTCAGGCTGGTTTAGGAAACAAGAGCAAAGTCCTTCAACCAGTAACTGGCGGAGCCCAGACTCTAGCCCATGTAGCTGTTGGTTCAAGCCAGGCTGCTCCCACTCCATAAAGCCTCCCCAGGGAGTTTCAAGAATACAGGAATCTTACTATATTCTTATTACCAAGAACGCTATCTGGATGACACACAGATTGTATTTAGCTCTACTGGGAAGCTTCCAGAGTCTATTTTAAAACGCATGATAATCTTCTAGCACATTGCTAGTTTTCCTGAAGTGACCCAGTTTACCACAAATGAAAACTACGCACTGTGTTAAGGACAGACCAGAGTCAACCAGGGATTGGGAGAAGCAAGAAACTAATCCAGGTGCCCGCCTAGGTCACGTACACAAGGGGGATCCCCACTGAGATCTTCGCAAATAAAGAAGGCTTGCCATTCGCTTTCCTAAATCAAGATGGGAAAAAAGGGCATTTGCTCAGCACCCACTCCCCCAGATCCAATTTTCATGACTACTTTTGATTAACTAAAGAAGTGCTTGTAATCGTGTCCAAAAAACAGTTAACATAGCAGGCCCGAGACTCATTCTCAGAAAGGCCTACTGGCAAAGCCACCCCTTGGCTGGAATCCGGGAACCTGAATGTTCCCACTATCCCTCAGGAAGAGTGGCTACTGTCCACAAACCGTTTGTGCAAGCGATATGGTTTATGCTGAGTAGCTGCCTTCCTGCGAGGAGGCTAGAATTCTGGCCGGTTCAAAGCAGAGGGGGCCTCTGTGATCAATCCCTGTTACGGTCGTGGGCCCGGAGTCTCTAACTGTTTCCCTCAGAGACAGCATTTCACGTGGAGCACGGGGGACGTGACTCACTGGGGAGGACTCTCAGAGCCTCCACCTGGTTTCCTCCAGATGTCATGTTCTCCCTTGGCTGACTCTGTTCTGCTCTTTGCTCACCGCAGTACATCGTAGCGGGGAGGGCACTGCGCGCCAAGTCCCTGGACCTCAGGGTGGTCAGCTTACAGACAGGAAGATGTTCTCAGACTATACTTACAAAATGGCTACGGTCAATAACACGGCTGTGAAAATTCATTTTTAAGACTGGCCATGAGCTCTGGGAAGGCTTCACTTCTCAGCAGCAAGCACCAAAATAAGTTGTAAACACCCTCATGCTGGATTCACTTCTGCCCATTTTGGACTAAGGGATGCTCACCGGGCACTCGAGCAGGAAAGGAGTCGGGAGACCCTGCTCCCGCGCCGCCCTCTTCTTCTTCATCTTCGAATTCCAGATTCTCTTCTTCACCAGGTGCTAAGATTCTTCTACATGTAGAACGGCAGATAAAACAGTGAGCTACAAAACTAAATATCCTACAGAGATATCACGGCCACTCATTTCACAGGTAAGACGCTGACACAAAAACGCTGACATAAAAATGTTGCCGTATTGATATTAAAGGTGGCAATGTTGATATAAAAAAATTTTAGAAATATCTGAAAAAATAGGTATAAGACAATAAAACAAAAAGACAGATAGTGATGCTTCTTTATTTTACCTTAAGGGGACAGGCTGAACATCAAATGGGAATTCTTTGTTATATGTAAGAATATTCTTGAGGACTAGAATAAAAACAGAGAGAAAGGTACATTAATTCTCCCATGAATCAGAACGAAAAGCTTTATTGGAAATGAAGCAGAGGGGGCCTCTGTGATCAATCCCTATTATGGCCATGGGCCCAGAGTCCCTAACTGCTTTCGCATGGAGCATGGGCGACGTGACTCACTGGGGAGTCACTGGGATTTTTTAATCCATTTTACTATGCATGTTAATACCTTAAAAAAAAAATCTCAATTTTAGAATCATTCAGAGCCACAACGCAACACTGAAGGTCTCATCAAAATGAAAACATAGAATACACGCCAGGTACCAGTACTTTGTCAGATCTCTAAGGAGAATAAGTTCCAGAATCTCAGAGCCCTCAGGGAAAATGAACTCCAAAATAGCTCCTTGTACAAGATCCTAGGTGAGACATATAGGACAGTTGAGAAAGAGAAGACCCCCTCCCTGGAGTACTTCAGTTAAAAGACTAGTGTCAAAGATAACCAATTAGAGGTACATGAGATCATTTTGGTCTATGTGCTAAGTAGATTTCCCCTCAACTCCATAAAACTGGCAAAACTGGATAAAACTGGTTATGATTTCCACATGCCACTTATAGCTTACTACAGACATACACATATGTACCTACAGACAGACACAAAGAAGGATCTATCCTCAAGAGAAGTCTTTCAATAACATGGCGCCCACCACCTTCTGTGTTCTTATGTGGTCGATGATTACATTCTGGTATGTAAACTTAAAGAGAGATATTCTGGAATTCCGCCTGCATTTAGAAAAGCACTAGAACTACGGATACCTTACAGGGGTACAGTAAGTCTGTAATTGGTGCTTCCTAGCTGGCGCTGTGGGTTTTCGGTAACCACCTGAGATTATATGAAGGCGAAGTAATGGCGATACTGAGTACTCCAAAAATTCCTATTGTACTCAAGTTATTCGGCCTTGTTCTGGAGTGCTGTAGTCTACGGACAGAATACCTGTGGCATAAATACCATCATCCCAAAGTAGGAAACTCCAGGGCACAGGTAATGATCATCTGACTTACTCCAACAGCAGTCGGGTGTTTACTGGACTTCTCTGTGCACTCTTACCGAGTCCTTCCGTGAGAGAGAGGCCTGGGACTTGCGGCTACCTTCTCATTCATTTTTATTCTCTCTCTCCCCCCCGGCTCTTACCCTCATCTTTCCTCTCTCTTCTTTTCAACAAACGTGCACCAAGTGCCCACAATGTTCCGGTGAGTTCTTAGGTGCTAAAGGAACGGCAGGGATCAAGTCAGAGGGTTACTGATCTCATCTATGGCTCTGAGACTCTAGTCAGAAGCGGACAGTAAGTAAACAAATTAACAAGACAATGTTAGACTGTGATTAGTGTTAGAAAAGACACAGCCAGGACGAGTGTGTAAATGGAGTACAGAGTGGACTTCAGCTACGGTGGAGAGGGCAGGCCTTTCAAAACTAACTTGTTGGAAGGCATGTGAGCCATAACCTGGAATGAGAAGAACCGTCCAGAAGTAGCACCAGGGGAAGGGCTTTCCAAGTATAAGAAACAGGCTAGAGGGGTGCCTGGCTAGCTCAGTGAGTGGTGTGTGCAATTGTCAGTCTCGGGGTTGTGAGTTCAAGCCCCACGTGGGGAAGAGAGATTACTTAGAAATAAAATCTTTAAAAAAGCCCAACAGGCTAGAGCAGTCACAAAGGCTCTGAGGTAGGCCCTTGCTTGGCTGGTTCAAGGAAGAAAACAGGCTACATAAGTGAAGTCTGACAGGCAAGGGGGAAGAGGCACAGGATCTGAAATCAGAGCTTAGCCCTATCACTATGTCAACTGTCGCTGTGTCATTCATGTAGCTACTCTCTCAGGTTCCCCAATTCTAAAATGGGAATACTACTTCCTTCACAGACTGCTGACAGAATGAATATATATGAAACTGCATGGGAAATCTTAAATCCCATAGAAGGATAAGCCCCCATTATTATATGGTAATTTATCCTCTCCATAGTTTTCCCACAGTCAGCTAGCTAGAAGAGAGTATTTCATATTTCAGGTCTCACTGAAAAGCATGGTTTTTACAATTACAAAAACATCTTTTCTAAACCAACTGCTCATTGTGAACAAACTATGAATTGAACTCAAATATCACAGTATTGTGCTAAATACTAAGAATAGGGAAGTGGGTGAGAAAGATGACCATGTGTCATTCATATCAGAAATGAGAGCACTGGGGGGCTCAGTCGGTTAAGTGTCTGACTCTTAATTTCAGCTCAGGTCATGATCTCATGGTTGTGGGATTGAGCCCCACATCAGGCTCCATGGTAGGTGTGGAATCTACTTAAGGTTCTCTCTCTCCCCTCCCCTGCTCCCACGCATGTGCACTTGCTCTCTCCCCCACAAAAATAAAAAAGAAATGAAACCACAGAAATGACATTTTTATTATAAAAAGGGGAAAATCAACCCTTACAACATATGTAAAAAAATTAATAAAGAAGTTGAAAATGATATCAGTTACTAAAAGTATCTTGTGTTTGTATTACAATACAAGCACGGAACAGTATTTCTTCTCTTAGGTACACCACTGCTTTGAAAAGGAAATGATTAGATATTTAATTATATGAGTAATTTTGTAAGAAAAATAACAGATCTTTTCTCATTTTCTATAATTGTAGGATAGGTTTCTATTTTCACCAACAATGGAACAACAGAGATTCTAATGCCTTTTTAAAATAGGGCTCAACAGGGGCACCTGGGTGGCTCAGTCAGTTAAGCATCCAACTTTGGCTCGGGTCATGGTCTCGCAGTCTGTGGGTTCGAGGCCCGCGTCGGGCTCTGTGCTGACAGCTCGGAGCCTGGAGCCTGGAGCCTGCTTCGGATCCTGTGTCTCCCTCTCTCTCTGCCCATTCTCTGCTCATGCTCTGTCTCTCAAAAATTAACGTTAAAAAAATTTTAAAAATAAATAAAATAGGGCTCAACTTAAACTTTACATAGGATTTTTCTCCCACCAATAAAACTTTACATAGGATTTTTCTCCCACCAATACTTTTGCTGGTACTTTAGGAAGATTTGGAGAAGAGACATGGTTTATAATTTCCTGGAAGTTAGAGGCGAGCACGGGGTCCATCATGGCTGGCATCTGGTGGCACACCTGTGCTGGTAAACATCTGGTACTCCTAGCCCACTGTCACATAGCCTGGCCTGCCACCCTCTGCAAGGTGACACTCTGAAGATGACAGACATGCAATTATCAAAATGTGTTCTGCTTCTGTGCCTAATTCGTTTCATTTTTCTGGGGGACAAAATGAACAGGTGCTACCTCCCCATCTGAAAAGTTATGTTTTATTTTTTTTTAATTTTTTTTTTGGTTTTTATTTTTGATATAGAGAAAGACAGAGCATGAGCAGGGAAGGGGTAGAGAGAGAGGGAGACACAGGATCCAAAGCAGGCTCCAGGCTCTGAGCTGTCAGCACAGAGCCCGACATGGGGCTTGAACCCACAAACCGTGAGATCATGACCTGAGCTGAAGTCGGGCTCTCAACCGACTGAGCCACCCAGGCGCCCCTGAAAGGTTATGTTTAAAATTACAGGAGAAGATTCCCTGAAGACATTCAACCCTATTGAACTTAAAAATGTGCCAAGTTAAGGGGTACCTGGGTGGGCTCAGTCGGTTAAGCGTCCGACTTCGGCTCAGGTTGTGATCTCACCACTTGTGAATTCGAGCCCTGTGTAGTGGGTTGAGCTGTCAGCTCAGAGCCTGGAGTCTGCTTAGGATTCTGTGTCTCCCTCTCTCTCTTCCCCTCCACTACTCGCACTCGCGCGCTCTCTCAAAAATGAATAAATGTTAAAAAAAATGTGCCAAGTTTGTATGATACTCAGAGCATTGAATTGTGCTCTGTAGGGAAAATACAAAGGTTATTTGCAATCTCCGTGAGGGGAGAAATGAATTTAAGTGAGAAGCATACAGGGCGGACTACGATAATGAATAATAAAAAATGCTCCTATAAAAGGCAGAAGGAAGGGGCATCTGGGTAGCTTAGTTGGTGAAGCGTCCAACTCTCTGTTTCAACTCAGGTCATGATCTCACGGTCTTGTGGGTTTGAGCCCCGCGCTGGGATCTATGCTGACCAAGCGGAGCCTGTGTGGGATTCTCTCTTTCTCTCTGACCCTTCCCTGCTCACAGTGTCTGTGTCTCTCTCAAAATAAATATATAAACTCATTAAAAAAAAAAAAAAGACAGGAGGTAGAGCTTAATTAGGGAGAAAAAGCTTCCAGAGAAAGGTGAGATTACTCTGGGGCCTTGTAGGATCAATCAATGGAAGTACAGGGTGGTGGGGGTTGGGGGGGTGGAGAGGTTTCAGTAATAAGTAGTCGATTACCAAGGACTAACATAAGAAAATGTAATAAATAGTACTTTTAAGATCTTAGTTGTAGTAAGAATTTCAGACAAGACTATTAAGAGATCTCTTTTAAAACCTTGAAGCAAAAACACAGTAGCAGAATAAAACCAAGTTCCACATATTAATTTTTCTTTCCTTCTGGCCTTAGAAGGTGCAGAGGCTAGCTTGACTCCGTCTGGAATATACTCAAATACCAATTTGTAGAAAATGTTTCATTCTGACCAAGTAACTAACTCATAACTAATGCCTCGCTTTGATAAATGCAAAATTACAGAGCATACCCTGAGATACAACATATACATTTACATTCCTTGAAGAGGCAACAGCAAATTAAAATCACCTAAATTAAGTACCAAGAAGGGAGAAATCTACATGCACTATATACATTCAAAGTATAACAAAATAAACCCCAATAGTACTATCTTTGCTTTCCATTCCTATCCCTAATCCTAAAAAAATAAGCAGCAGACAAAACAACAACAAAAGAAGACATAAAAGATTAATGCAGATTTTAGTCCCATCTTCTCCTCATACAGGGGTCAACAGTCTTCAGGAGCTTGAACTGGAAAACCATGCTGTTTAGGACTGATGTCAATACTGTACACCACTACAGATATTAACTCAATATAGTAGAAGGAACGTAGGCTTTGGAGTCACTTAGAAACCTGGTCAAAACCCAGTTCTCACATTTACATACTGTAAGGTCATGGGCAAGCATCAGCAAAACACAGCTGAGTGGACTTATTTGAGTGTTTGGTCCATAGCTGATACTCTAAAAAATGGTAACTTTCAGAAAGGAAAGATCCTATAGGGAACAGGAGAAATCTGTAAGATTCTAAAATTTTATTTGGAAACAAACTGAAAAAACAACCAAAAACTAATGGAAAACAGTGACTAAATAGAATGTCAAAATCCTAATAATTTTTATCATTAAAAAAATAGAACATTATAATCTTCTTTGGAACCATTATATTAATTTTTTATATGTTTAGTTTTGTGGGGGGGGGGGCAGAGAGGGACAGAGAGGGACAGAGCGGGAGACAGAGAATCTGAAGCAGGCTCCACACAGTTAGTGTAGAGCCTGATGCGTGGCTCAAACCCACAAACCGTGAGATCATAACCTGAGCTTAAGTCGGATGCCCAGCTGACTGAGCCACCTAATCACCCCCATTGTAATCTTTTTAAAAAGCTATCAATGTGCTTTTCTTAAAATAATCTAATACATAACCATATATGGTATGACTGCATTTATGCAAAATGTCCAGAACACACAAATTCACAAACACAGAAAGTGGATTAACGGTTGCCTAGGACCGGAAATCAAGGAGCGGGAGAGGCAGGCGTGTGCTAACGGGGAGGGGGTTTCCTTCCGGGGCGACGGAAATGTTCTAAAGTGAACTGTGGTGATAGTTGATAGCTGTGTCTTTGCCTGTATTACAAACATGTCCTCCGAGGGAACGTTCATTTGCACCAACAAGGAAATCTTATCTGGCACACCCTGACCACCAAAACCTATGAACGTTTACTTCAAAAAAGCTTTCGAGAAGGTTAAGGAAAATGGGAACAAGGAACTACTCTGCAGAGCTCGGCAACAGCCCGGCTGATTGCAGTGTGGTTTTCAAGGACAGGTAGTAGAAATGGGCCTCAAGGGCTGTACCTTTATCCTCTCCAGGAAACTCCACTGTTAGCGCCACCAAGTACTTACAGTCACTGAAGTGGTTAAAACAAAACAAAGGCTAAAACATACTGATGAGGTACCTCAACTCAAATAACTATTCATAGGCTATAATGGCGAACAGAGTAACAATTCCTGTAACCTTTACGGTTAATCCTCAGTCTAACCCGGAGTTAGGTAAATCATTTGATAGCCGTGTAAATGGAATAGAGATCAAGTAACTTGTCCTACACATCGATGTATTCTACACATACAGCAGTAACATAGCCACAAAACAATACACTTACTTTCCTACCATTTGGCTATATACTGGATGCTCTTTTAAAAATGCTCTTTAAAAAGGATTTTGTTGTAAGTGAGATGTATCAACAAGTAAGTCTTTAAAAATAGTAGTTGACTCCCTTCCTTTCTCTACAATAAAATCCACCTGAATGGAGGCGGTTAGCATTTAAGCTAAAGTGTTAACAACTACAATTCCACTAATAACTTATTTTAAACATTTCTAAAACATTATAGGACTTATAAAAGCACAAAAAAATCACATAGGACTAGATACTAATGAAATGAATAAGCATCTATGCTAACTAATCTCTATTTTTTATTTTAATTTTTTAGGGAGACAGAATGAACGAGTGGGGGGGGAGAGAGGGGGAAACAGATGGAGAGAGAGAGAGAAAAAGAGAGAGAGAGAGAATCTTAAGCAGGCTCCACACTCAACGTGAAGCTCCATTCCACGATCCTGGGATCATGACTTGGGCCAAAATCAAGAGTCATAGGCTCAACTGAGCCACCCAGATACCCTTATGCTAAATAAGCTCAGTATCTATAACAGAATAAATATTTTTCTAAAGGAGTACCATCAAAAATATAAAGTAAAACTTACTTGGTTCTAGCTTCTTCAGGTCCTCCAGTTTAAATTCTTCTTGAGACTGTGTGGACTGAATTTAAAACATGCATATTACATCTTTTATTATGAAGATTTCACTACACCCTATGTCTTTTAAATGGCAAGAACTAAAGATTCAAAAAGTAGACAAAATAAATGAATCCATTTCTTGCTTTCAAAGTAGAAAATGAAAAGTCCCAAATGGGTTTTTGTTTGTTTTCGTATTTTGGAACATTCAGGCTAAAAATTGCAAGAAGCGGAAGCTACATCTTTTCTCTACAACTTATTAAATATGAAATCTTTTAATAGGAGTTTAAGCCATGAATTCCTATTGCTATAAATCTTTTCTGAGACAATACTGCTTTTAGATTTAATGCCTAATGTTTATAAGAACAGTTCAGAATAATTTTCTCTTACATTAGGAAGGGGAAAAAAAAAGTTGTTTACCTGTAAAGCTGCACTTCGTAATTCCAAGCATGTTGCAATTTTGCCTATGGTTTTCTGTAGGAAAAAGAAAAAAGCCATAAATACCAAATACGCTGTAACTGTTGTTGTCAAAATCATGGAGTTAATTTTTGTTGGTAAATGATCTATAATATTTTTAAGTTAAATTCTATTTCTTTTTAGCATCTTACAGATTTTACAGAAGAAAAATAGGAGGCAAAGGGCTAGGTTAAGAGAGAAAGGGAATATATATTCTCTCCAGACCTATCTGTACTCTGACCTATTTAATTTTTTTTTAAATGTTTTATTTATTTCTGAGAGAGAGACAGAGAGAGAGGCAGCGTGAGCAGGGGAGGGTCAGAGAGAGAGAGGGAGACACAGAATCTGAAGCAGGCTCCAGGCTCTGAGCTGTCAGCACAGAGCCTGACACGGAGCTCAAACTCTTGAACTGTGAGATCATGACCTAAGCGAAAGTCGGACACTTAACCGACTGAGCCACCCAGGCGTTCCAGCTCTGACCAATTTAAAATCCAGTTTGCTTTGATGACAGCTTTAGATTTATTTAAAGGGCAATGAAAAGAATTCCAACTTCTTCCCTCCCCAGCTTTGCCTTCTCTTCTTGTCTATTAAGCCTGAAAGTCATGAAAAGATTTAAAACTAAAAATACCTGAAAGTTAGCAAAATGGTATGATTTAATTTTGTCTTAAGTCCAGTCTTGACTTGTCTAATTAAATATATAGATAATACCAAGCAAAATCAATACTGGGGATGCATGGTGGCTAGTTGTGTATTCAGGTCTGTTTTAGATGAGCTAGAAGATGAGCAGAAATGATAGGGTACAGTCCTTGCTGTTAATAAGCTCAAAGTCTATTATGTGAGAGGAGTTACCACAAAATCACTGTAATATTAAGAAGAGACACTTAAGGGGCGCCTGGGTGGCTTAGTCGGTTAAGCGTCTGACTTTCGCTTAGGTCATGATCTCGCGGTTCGTGGGTTCGAGCCCCGCGTCGGGCTCTGTGCTGACTGCCAGCTCAGAGCCTGGAGCCTGCTTCAGATTCTGTGTCTCCCTCTNAAAAAAAAAAAAAAAAAAAAAAATTAAATTAAAAAAAAAAAAAAAAAAGAAGAGACACTTAATTCTTACAAGCACAGGAAAGTAAGCCATTACGCATGTTCTGAAGAAATAATGCCAGAATCTGTGATAGAAATCAAACCTGGGAAGGTGTTTAAAACTGAAGAGTTGAGAAAATTGTCACAATTCAGTTGTCTAAAGTCTCAAAGTGAAAGCAGAGGGATATAGGTTTGAAAATGTGTGTGTCCTGGGTGGGGGGGTGGCGGGGGTACGGGGGTGGTCATTCGGAAGAGGACCTTCAATGACTCAGAGGAACCTGTTATTACTTTAGCAGTAAATCACACAGAGGCTTTTGAAGAGAATGACCATCAGACCTGCCTTTTTAAGAAGACTTATGAGTACAGTCCCCATAGGCTGGGGTGGAAAAGGGAAAAGACTAAAGGTCATAGCAATCGAGTTACCTCAGTTGTCCAGGTAAATGGTCATCAGAACAAGAACGTGAATGACTAGGGTGGTAATGACAATGAGAAGACCCACAGAAGAAACACCTACAAGAGCGGACAGCTGAATTATGCCTGTTGACATTTTTAAGTCCTTCCTAAAAAAGGCATTTATTTTGTTTTCATTAGGAATAAATCCAGACCGTGGAAGTCAAGTATTTTCATACAATATGTGTACTGCCTTCAGAATGAAATACTGTTGGGGGAAAAAATGATATGTTTTTCTACATGTACTGATCACTTGCAAAAATTTAGCAAATTTGATTTTGTGGTTTTCTCTTTGGTCACTTTCTTTCTAAGATAAATGAGGAGCAAAGAGGTATAATGAGTATTGTGCTGGCCCCTGGCACTTAGGCTAGTGGGCTCTGTGCAATGATCTTAGCAACAATAATGAGCTGGTAGAGCGACTCGAACCACTACTAGGCGAGATAGGACCCTTGGCCAAGGAACAAGGAACACTATTTAACTGTCTCCACAATCTTTAAACCTTCCTTTTAATCCCACTAGCTCAGTTTAGAAAGTACCCAATTTTATTCTGAAATTTTACATTTAAAGTAAATATAGTAACTGCAAAAGGACTCCAGATAACTCATAGATTTATTCTCTCAAATAGCTACTGCATATGAACCAGCAAAAGTTTTTTCTACATAAAATATTAATATCCCCAAATAAATGTTCAAACATAACATTCAACTGACAAAACTAGTAGGTGATTTTAAAATATATATATACATATACACATATATGCATATATATAAGAAAATAAGATAGTAATGGCTAACAGCTATTGAATACTCACACAACAGTAACACATCCAACAAAGCCATATACTTATTTTAATTTGGTCATATGCTTAGGTTCTATTAAAAATGCTTTTTATTTTTGTAATGTTTTTTATTTATTTCTAGGAGAGAGAGAGACAGTGTGAGCAGGGGAGGGTCAGAGAGAGAGGGAGTCACAGACTGAAACAGGCTCCAGGCTCTGAGCTGGCAGCATAGAGCCCGACGCGGGGCTCGAACCCAGAACCGCAAGATCACGACCCAAGCGAAAGTCGGACGCTTCACCGACTAAGCCACCCAGGCGCCCCTATTTTTTATTTTTTTTTAAATGTTTTATTTATTTCTAGGAGAGAGAGAGACATCGTGAGCAGGGGAGGGTCAGAGAGAGAGGGAGTCACAGACTCTGAAATAGGCTCCAGGCTCTGAGCTGGCAGTCAGCACAGAGCCCGATGTGGGGCTCGAACCCACGAACCGCGAGATCATGATCTAAGCGAAAGTCAGACGCTTAACCAACTAAGCCACCCAGGCACCCCTAAAAATACTTTTTAAAAAGGATTTTGTAGTAAGCGAGATGTATCAACAAGCAAGTCTTTAAAAATATTAGTTGACTCCCTTTCTCTATTGTAAAATCCATCTGAATTGAGGAAGTTAACATTTAAGGTAAAATGCTGTTTAACAACTATGATCCCACTAATAACTTACTTTAAATTTAAACATTTCTTCAAGTTAAGCAGAAGCAGTGGCTTTGTACACAGAACCTACTGAGCTATGGCAAAATACCAATGAGCATTATTCATAACTACTTTAAGGGACCACACCCAACATCAGTATTAAAAAGGGAGCGAAACACTATCATTTTCAGCTGCAGCAATGACTTTTAAAACATGTAACGTTTACTGATGTCAAAATCAAGTGCTTGCTACTGTAACTGTTTCAGCTTTCTTAGAAACAAATGGTTAGGAAAAATGATTAGGCGGCACAAGGTCACTTGTGTCCAAGCAGAAATACTATTAATTAATGTACATTAAGACTAAGCACTGAAGGTAAATGAAGAACTACTTTTGGAAAGATTTAAATTATTAGCACCTCGTTCAAATTAACTGCTCATACCTAATATGGTATAGCAATGGAAAATGTTCTCATTTTCAGAACATTGGCTATTTTATTCGGTCATTGGTAGGGAAATTAACAACTCTAAAAGAACTGTTAAGGAAAAGATGGACTAAAAATAGACAAAGAGCTACATTTTAATTTTGTGAAAATGGTAACTTATATAAGGAAAACAAAGTTTACAAAATGCATAAAAAGTAACAGTCTCAATCCAGATATAACTTTTTATTTAAACAGCCAGTCAGCTACTCTCTAGGTGCAGGGGGGGGAGGCAGGGGTGGGAGACAGAGGGGAAAGCAGGAAGTCAGTGGAAAGGGGGGAACCTATAAAATATAAAACAAGTATATAGCACTGGAATTCTCATTACCACCAAATTTGATTCAAAACAGGGAAAACCTTTCTAAGCATCATGAGACAGGATGTTCTCCTCCGTCCAGAAACTTACACAAGAACATCTACTACACAAAGTAGGGAATTTAACAGAACGAAAGTTTTTGGCAGCTATTCTTTGGCTACTAAACTCAGTTGTTATAATGACAAAACTATGGAGAATTGAAATGAAAGCTAAGTCAACTAATCACGAGGGAGGATCAAATAAGAATCACAAACCTTATTTTCCACCAGATATCGTTGAGAATATTGTAATAGCAAATCCATAGGAAGATTTTTTTTTAATCATCCATTAATAAAGTTTAAAGGGATCAGTGGTTCTGCTTTAGAGTTTAGATTTAAAATAAATATTGTGGGGGCGCCTGGGTGGCTCAGTCAGTTAAGTGTCCAATGTAAGCTCAGGTCATGATCTCACAGTTCGTGAGTCTGAGCCCTGCATCGGGCTCTCTGCTGACGGCACGGAGTCTGCTTCGGATTCTGTGTCACCTGTCTCTGCCCATCCTGTACTCATTCTCTCTCTCCCTCAAAATAAAAAAACTTAAAAGAAATAAAATATTGTGAAGATATTTTCTCAAAAATTTGATTTCTCAGGGCACCTGGGTAGCTCAGTCAGTTAAGTGTCCGACTTCGGCTCAGGTCATGATTTCGCAGTCTAGTCTATGGGTTTGAGCCCCACGTCAGGCTCTGTGCTGACAGCTCAGAGCCTGGAGCCTGCTTCGGATTCTGTGTCTCCCTCTTTCTCTGTCTCTTCCCTATTCTTTCTCTCTCTCTCAAAAATAATAAACATTGAAAATTTTTTTTAAAAATTAGGATCTCTCTGATCTTAATTATATATGAAATAATATCAACAACCTAAGATCCAACAAAGCATTTACTGATCAAATATTTTTCAAAGCTTATTATGAGATAGTAAAAAGCTTCATAAAGAAATGTTGCTTTTTAAAAACTAATCTTTCAAAATCCAGGGTTAGCATAATTCTAAGATTTGTCACTGCTAGAAAAATACTGAGAATAGTAAAAGCATAAATGATATAATTCAAAAAAGAAAACACGAAGAACAATTCTGCTTAGACTAACATGACGTATATACTCTGCATTTTTCTCTTTTGAGGCAAACACAATGGGGTTTCTTCTCCTTTGGTCTAAGTGCCAGGCATGGCATTCAATTCATTTTGCACACCTAAAGGTTGGTTTCGAAATCTCCGGTAACATGTTCTTGGGAACACTAGACCCAGTGAGGTGTTCTATAGAGGGAGGAAGGGGCCTCCCAAAAGCAAACAACTTGAGAAACACTCCATTACCCAAAGCCTTTAAAACTCCAACACACACATTAGCATATTAAAAGCCCTGACAAGTCACAAACTCTCTGTTCAAGTAACATCTATTAATTTTTTAGAGCTAGTCAGTGTTCCCCAGATCGTGTCTGGAAAAGCTTGGTTTCCTAATCGTTACCTTGGAGCTTCTAACTCTTTCCTTCCGTGACATTCGAAGATAAGATGGCATATATGTCACTGTGAGGGTTTTGGTCCACTGTGAATGTTTCACCCGTACTTTTAAAGAAAATTACATTTGTAAATGCATATGACTTGCCCTATGCTCCTAATGCAGTACAGAGTGATTCAAGGGCCCACGCTCTCTCTGGAGTCCTAACCCGAAGCCACAAATGCCTCCTAGGCAGATATTATAAATAACAAGTACCTTAGACATCAAGCCTCCAGAAGAGGAGGAGGTAAGGAAACTTCAAAGGCAGAAGCCATTAGAAGATTTAGGGGCTTCTTTTCAGATCATTTAGGGTTATCTAATCCCTCATTTCATACTTAAGGAAATTAAGGCCCAGGGATGGGAGCTGGAATTCAAGACCAAAGTCTTCCAACTCAAGGCCTCAGGCTTTTCCTCAAGGTCATGCTGCCTCCCAGGCCTTAGGGAGCATATATCTGTGGGTCTGCGGAAATTGGAAAAGACAGCATTGGGGGCTACTGAGGAACAGCTATAAATTAAAGAATAAAGAACATAATCAAACATCAGCTCAGCCTTAAGGAAAATTAAGAAAAAGGTTATTTTTTTGAATTAGTCTAATTACTGCTGTATGACAAAGCTCATTTCTTGACGGCATTTAAAAAATAATTTGCTTTGTTTCAGGTCAACTCATTTTATATCTGAGGTCACCTCGCTCACAGGTCCTAGATCTAAGCAACAGGTGTTGGAGACACAGCATGTGCGTAGCTCACGGCACACAGGTGATTCCAGTGCAGGAATCATTAAATTTTCACAAAAATTCCCTCAGCTTTCATTTGTGCCCCTATTTGTAACACACTTTGTCAGCTGCTAATTTAAACACTCAGATCTTCGAGATTCTGTTTCAAAATTAAGGTGTTTTGTCTCTAGGTTTTGTGCTGCCAGCTAATCATTCCTAGAGTTCGCAAATCTTACAGGAGTAGTAAAGCACATAAATAGTCTTTGTTCCTTTCCTCAAGCAAACCCATCGTTTCCTCTGGTAATCATTCTGCTGGACTCAAATACTCAGTTTCCTTCATCTACTGCATATGTTAACAACCGTAAAGGAAAAAAGAAAAACCACATCTGTAAATTGTAGTACTGTGTTTTCCTTTTTAAATAAATTTTTTAAAAAAGCACATTAGAGGGGCGCCTGGGTGGCTTAGTCGGTTAAGCGTCCGACTTTCGCTTGGGTCATGATCTCGCGGTTCGTGGGTTCGAGCCCCGCGTCGGGCTCTGTGCTGACTGCCAGCTCAGAGCCTGGAGCCTGTTTCAGTCTGTGACTCCCTCTCTCTCTGACCCTCCCCTGCTCACGCTGTCTCTCTCTCTCTCTCCTAAAAAAAAAAAAAAAAAAAAAAAAAAAAGCACATTAGATAATGTAGCTCCTAAATATTTAAAAAATGCAAATGTACGAACTCGTGTAAGAAACATAGTTAACCCTCATCTTTGGGGTTTTTTTCCGTTCAAACTCCTATAAACAAGAGTCAAATGAATGTACGCAAAAGGACTGAGATAAATTTGCTCAGGCTTAGTTAAAACTCGTGCAAAAACCACTCCCACCCTTTGTACAAAAAAAAGTACAAAAAAAGGATTAATAAAAACAAATTAAGTCACTGTAGTTTTTTTTTTTTACATCTTTTCTTAAGATAGGAGGCAAAAACTGACACAGTAATTTTTTTCATTATCTACAAGATTAAAATTTGACTTTAACAGTAGATACTCTGAGCCAGGAAAAAATAGGAATCATTTCTTCCCTTCTCACTCTTTTTAAAAAAAATTTTTTTTAATGTTTACTTATTTTTGTGAGAGAGAGAGAGACAGAGAGACAGAGAGAGAGAGAGACAGAGCATGAGCCGAAGAGAGGCAGAGGGAGGAAGGGAGGGAGGGAGAGAGAGAAAGAGAGAGAGAGATACAAAATTGGAAGCAGGCTCTAGGCTCTGAGCTGTCAGCACAGAGCCTGATGGAGGCTCGAACCCACAAATTGTGAGATCATGACCTGACAAGAAGTCAGACACTCCTCCAGCTGAGCCACCCAGGCACCCCTCTTCTCACTCTCTTAAAGTAAAGCTTCTGAAAGTATCCTGTTTTTTACAACGTAACAATCCAGGGAATCAACTTGTCACATTAAAATTTTAATTCAAGGAGAAAGAGCACCATGGGAACATTTTGCAACCTTATGCAGTTATTTGGCTGATGGACTTTTATGCCAAATTTTTGACTTGAACTAATATTTTTCAACGGCGGCTTTTGGGGAAGGCTTTTTTGTTGTTTTTGTTTTTGTTTTTTGGCTTTGTGTTTGAGAGGATGGAAGAAGGAGTTAGGAAAATTCAGGGTTAATTAAGTATTGAAGTTGGATGTAACTACTCCCAAACAAAATTCAGTCTCTGGAATCTACCCCTCTCACAACCAGAGTGTAGCCCATCTCCACTAAAGCTAAAGTCTTAAATGGCCTTGAGTGTAGAAATTCATCAAGTGAGAAAGTCACAAAGTAGTAAATCAAGTGTTATCTCTCAGTGATCATTTCATGTTCCCGAAAGCAAACTCAGTGCCATTCTTTGTACTTAAGTATAGCAGTTTCTTTTGTTTGTTTGGCTTAATGGATTTGAAAGACAGAATCCTTTTCATTTGGTATATGCGGAGATTATTTTATGGTACCTTTTGTTCTTCTGTGAATTCAGAATTATTGTGTTGAGCTTGGGCCTCTTTTTGTAGATGTCTTGCTAATCTGTAAGAAGAAAAATAAATATTCTTTAGAATTGAACGAAAGCAAACTATCTCAAGTGCAACAAGGTGAAATCATTTAAATCTTTTAAAAAAGACAATGGGGCACCTGGGTGGCTCAGTTGGTTAAGCCTCCCGCTCTGGCTCTGGCTCTGGCTCTGGCCATGATCTCACAGTTCATGAGTTCAAGCCCCATGTTGGGGTCTGTGCTGACAGCTCAGAGCCTGAAGCCTGCTTCAGATTCTGTGTCTCCCTCTCTCTCTGTCCTTCCCCAGCTCGCTCGCTCTCTCTCTCTCTCTCTCTCTCTCTCTCACACACACACACACACTCTCTCTCTCTCTCTCTCTCTCTCTCTCTCTCAAAAATAAACAAACATTAAAAATAAATTAAAAAATAAAAAATAAAAAACAGACAATGGGGGTTCTTGGGTGGCTCAGCCAGTTAAGCATCTGACTTCTCTCTGCTCAGGTCCTGACCTGGCGGTTTGTGAGCTCGACCCCGGTCGGGCTCTCTGCTCTTGGCACTGAGCCAGCTTCAGGTCCTCTGTCCCTCTCTGTACCTCCCCACCCTCTTTGTGCTGTCTCTCTCAAAATAAATACACTTAAAAAATTTAAAAAACAGACAATGAAGTACAATAATGATTTGCTGTGTTTTCAAAGTATAAACCTACATTATCTTTAGAATCAAACTCTGGACATAATGACAATGATAATGAGATATAATATTTTTCATACCATTTCTCTGGGACAAATCTCAGCTCTAGGTAATAAAAACCAAATCTTAGAGCTGGAAGGAATCTCAAATGGCATCTAATCCAACTTTCTTCAGTAGTATGTCTGAATTTCTTCTATAACAGGCCGATAAGCAGTTGTCTAGATTTTGCTTTACACACTCAAGTGAGCACCAATCACAGTACCAACCAGACACGCTTCATCAGCCTATCAGTAGTCTGCTGAGATGAGTCCAAGTGACAGCCATGACAAAATGACAGCAGTCATTATACTTTTCAAAACATTTTTTCATGAAAAAGAAAATCCTGCACCAATCAGACATGAAAATCATTGTTTGCCCGATTATCATTCTTAAGAAAAGCAGGTGAGCCAAGGACGGATCTGTGTCACTAGTCCAAATTCAACAGCAAGGATCCCAAGCTCTTTCTGAGACCACAAGGGCTGACTGACGGACTCTCACAACTACACAATAAAAAGACAAATAGCTCAATTTAAAAGGATTTGGACATTTTTCCAAAAAAGATCTAAAACGGGTCAATAAGCCAGTAAACAGCCTGCCGTCAGTCATCGGGGAAATACAAATCAAAAGCACCATGGGATACCACCTCACACCCACTAGGACGGGTATAATTTCTAAAAAGAGAAGAAAAATAATGCTGTTGGCAAGGGTCTGGAAAATCTGGAACCTTCGTGCAGTGCTGGTAGGAATGTAAAATGATGCAGTCACTGTGGAAAACAGTTTGGCAGCTCCTCAAAAGTTAAACATAGAGTTACCATACATCCCCCAGCAATTTCAAAATTCTAGGTATAGTGCAAGAACTGAAAACACGCTCACACAAAAAGACCTGTGCGTGAATGTTCACAGCGGCAACATTATGCACGATAGCCTAAACTGGAAACACTCGAAATGCCCATCAACTGCAGAATGGATGAACAAAAAGTGGTGCATCCATTCAAAGAAGTGGGATTTGGCCGCAAAGAGGAATGAAGACTGATACATGCTACAGCATGAACCTCAAAAACATCACGTGAAACGAAAGATGCCAGATGCGAAAAAAAAAAAAATCACACAATCACTTACACAAAATGCCCAGAATGGATAGATCCACAGAGACAGAAAGCAGATCTGGGGCTGCCAGGGGCTGGGGTAAGGAGGGACTTGGGAGTGACTGACACCAGATATGGCGTTTGAAATATTCTCAAATGAGATAGTGGTGATGGGTGCCGAGCACCATGAATGTACTAGAACCACCAAATTGTACAAGTTTACAGTGGGGAAATTTTATGTGATATTTAGCTCAGATTTAAAAATCTTTCGATTTAAAGAATCAAAAGGATTCTTTGGTGAAACATTTTGTCACTGGCCAAAGAAATTAAAACTATAATTCTCAAGCATGGTATACTATTCTGCGTGGGGGTGGAAGCAGGATGCAAAGGGTGGCACGTGTTAGATTTCCTACCAAACCAATTGCAAGAGAGTCCACTGAATTCCAAAAAAAAGTCTTAGATGGCTTTAGATGAGTTTTATTCTACGTAATCACGCATGTCCTTAAAGACCAGGTGTCAGGTTCATTATATTTGATGGTCTCTATCCAGTCTATGAAAGGTATGCATCTTATCATAAACTATGAAACTCCGACATACAATTATTGACATTTGGCAGGAATCACTCCACTATTATATTTCATCAAACTTGTTTCCATCCATTTATTTTACCTCAAAGGTGGAAACCCCATATTTTCCTATGATGCCATTCACAGACCAACTCGTGGTGGATTCTATACAAGAGAAAGTACAAACAGAAAGAGACATTGCCAACATCCTTGTCCTTGTTCCGCACTTAGTTTCTAACTCTTGCTGGACCACCCCTTATATGAAGTTCTCTTTTAGGGCTCATAGTCTCTATTTAACAATGTCAAAACATCCCCAAACTCAGGGAAGTTCTAGCGTGGCACAATTTCTTTATTTGAATAGTTCTCATATAATACGCTAATAGTGATTGTTAAGCCAGGCAAGGTCATTGTCAGAAGAAAGGGGGTAGCTCTAAACTCCCGCTAAAATGCTAATAGTCAGTGAACAAGACTGTTCAAGACAATTAAATTCAAACAGAATCCTGCTTTTAAAAATTAGGCAACAGAATGGGAGGAAATATTTGTAAATCATATATCTGATAGAGGACCTATATCTAGAACATATAAAGAACCCTTATAAACTCAATAGGTAGAGATGCTCAGTCAGTTGAACATACGACTCTTTATTTCGGCTCAGGCCATGACCTCATAGTTCACAAGAAGCAAACTAAAAAGTACACTACACGCCTACCAGAATGGCTGTAATAGAAAACAGGCCATCAACACCATCAATGAAGAGAAACGGTAACTGATACACTGCTGGTAGAAACATAAAACTGTACAGCCAGTCCACACAATATGGCAGTTTCCTTCATAAAATTCACATAAACTTCTATCACCTAGGAATTCCACTCTTTGGTGGCCACCCAAAAAGAATGAAAATATAGGAGCACAAGAAGAGTTACCTGTGAATGTTCACAACAGCATTACTGATAATGGTCAGAGAGTGGAAACAACTCAAATGTCCTTTATCTAGTGAGTGGACACACAAAGGTGGTAGATGGAGACAACGTAACACTACTTGGCAGTAAAAAGGAACAAAGTACTGCCATATGCCACACCATGGGTGGCCTCAAATCCATTATGCCAAATGAAAGAAGCCATGTACCAAAGATCACACTCTATATGATTCCGTTTACATGAAACGTCCAGAAAAGACAAATCCTTACAGACTCTAGGTCAGAGGTCGCCTGAGGCTGGAGCAGGAATATGGAGTGATTACGAATGGACACAAAGGATCTTTGTCAAGTGATGGAAATGTTATAAAATTTCATTGTAGTGATGGTTGTACAACTTTGTATCAATTTACTAAAAATTCGCTGGACTGTGTGTAAAATGAATGAATTTCGTGGTATAAATGTTATACTATATTTAAAAGCGTTTTTGAAGACCTGTGCAAATAATTAATTTTCTAAATCCATGTATGATTGCACTATTTCAAGTTAAACTGAGATGTGATTCCATCCACTGAGGGAAAATCCACATGCTTTATTTAGATATCAGACGCGAGCAGCTAAAAGAGTTGAAAGAATTGACATTCTATTAGGAAAGGTGAGAAACCTCTCAAATATTCTTCTCTCAGAATAATCTCATCTTACAAGCATGCCTATAGGTAAAACAAAAAACAAAACAAAAAAAACCACTGTTCTCAGGAGTTTAAAATATACACACATAAACAAGCGAATGAAAGAAATCTCACAACAATCCACGACAGAAACTAGCGCTTCTCAAACTATCTGTAGTGAAGGACTAGTTTCTTTCCCCATTCTGTTCTACGCTAACACTGTAATAAAAACTATCATGAAGATGTCAAACTGCTATAGTTTCTAAATCCTTTTTAAAATTTTTTTGAAGTTTATTTATTTATTTTCGAGACGGAGAGAGTGAACAGGGGAGGGGCAGAGAGAGAGGGAGAGAGTAAATCCCAATCAGGCTTCACACTGTCAGCACAGAGCCCGACGTGGGACTCAAACACACAAACCACAAACCGTGAGATCATGACCTGAGCAAAACCAAGAGTCAGACGCTTAACTGACTGAGCCGCCCAGGCGCTCCTAAAGTTTCTAAATCTTAAATTTCAATTCCTTGATCTCCTTACTGTAGACCAGCACCCATCCGCAGGCCCACTTTGAGTGGCACGGATGTAAGGCACAGTAAAGATGATTAACAGCAGGTGTTACTCAGTCTTCAAACTCATTCATTTAACAAGTATTTATTGGGCAACAGGTGCTAGATTAACACCTCAGCGTAGATCCTGTGAAATATCGGATTCTGAGCAAGAGAGTCCATACCATTCTACCATAAGTTAGGGGTCGCTGTATCCCCAGATTGCCGAGAGAGCCGGCCTGCTTCACGGAATTGCTTTTATTTGGCCATGTATGGTTTGGCTAGCAATTCTAGTTTTGACATAATTCGTGTACATCTCCCAACAATACTTTAGTATCAACGTGGTGCTCCCACAGCATACTTCTGAATCCATTCATTAAAGGAATACAATATAGAATATCCAAATAAACAATTATTTAATAATAGCCTAGCATCACTTAAACACTATACGGCAGAGATCAAGACAACTGCTCCAACTCTGCCTTCCCAGAGTTTCTAGCCAAGAGGGGAGACACCATAAACCAAACAAACATGTAAATACATTGTATTTTAGATGGTGAGATGTACTATGGAAAAACATTAAACTGGGGGCGGGGGGCGGTCAGGATATGGGAGACTGAGGTCTAGAGGGTGTGGGGATGGGGAACAGGCTTTCCAATGAGAACAGAGTCGCCAGACAGGGCCTGAGAAGATAGCACCTGAACAAAGACCTGAGGGAGGTGACCAAGCGCCCCAAGCAGATAATGAAAGAAGAATGTTCCAGAAAAAGTACAAAAGCCCGAAGGCAGAAGCATGCTCCTGAGAACAGCATGCACTGTGCACACTCTCCATTCTTCTGTAATAGCAAGACCCAGTTACTCTAGAATCCTCCATTAGACTCCCCATGCTTTGAGGGTGGGAATCCAATTGAATTCATCTTTGTATCCCCAGCTCTCACTTGTTGAGTGATGAAATTGCTTGAGTTATTGTATTCCTACATTGTGATGGTGCAGACATGTTTATTCCCTCCCTACGTTCCTCCTCCCATAAATTTCGCTGTTACACGACTATCAAGTCCTTGCTGCCTACCGAATTAGAAAAATGCCAATCATCCTACACTCTTCCTTCTTCACTCTCAATATGCTGGCCATTCTTTTTTTTTTTTTTTTTTTTACATGATTTAGTGACCCCTAAATGGTCGTCTTCTCTGTAGCCTTTCCTCCCAGATAACTGAAATAAAAAAAGACAATTCGCCTTCACTTTTGAATGTACTAATTGTAAATTCAACCTCATTTTTTATGTAGCCTCTATGTTTACAAAAGTTAAGGCAATCATCACTCCTTCTATTTCTATCACTTGAGAACTATTCTGAACCATTAAGTTCAAAGCTTAGTACTGAGGTCCAACAATAGATTTCCATGTGGCTATTATTCTCATTGAGATGTTTCTAGAAATTCCAGCTAAACAGCTTGCATACTCAATTTTCCTTTGTGATTTCAATTGGACATGGTATTCTTCACTTTCCATTGTGAAGTCTGCTGCTGGGTCGCGCCACATCACAAGTGAAGGCAGCTTTACATTTCAGGGCATGCAATTTCCGTGAACAGGCAGAATGAGCACACGCAGGTGCTCACTAACTGGCTACGGTACAGTAAGATACGTGCTCTGGTAATCAGCTCATTACACAAAGCATTTTAAATAAAATGTCTTAAGCACTATGTAGTAGAGCAGGTGGGACTTAGTAAAACAAAAACAAAACACCAAAATCCAAAAAAAAAAAAAACCAAACCCCCAAAAAACCACCAAACCAAAAAACCCAGATTTCAGCGGTTTGGTTTTGTGACTCCCCCCGCCACCCATTAATCTGTTTAACCTGAGCTTCAGTTTCCTGGTTTTGTAAAACGAGAGTAATGTTCTCACTAAGTAGTTGCGAGAGCAAGTGAAGTGCAGATGCAAAACAAATGCCCAAATGCCGGTGTTGACGATTACAGGGCCACACCGCCCAGAGCAGGTTTTCAGGGCTTTTTGAAGCTACAAGTCTGTGCCATGGGGGGGGAAAGCATTTGCACATTTAAATGATCTTAATGGTCAGGTAAAAACAAGTAACTATTGTGGAGAAAGGAAAAAGAATTTAAAGTTTCCCAGTCCCAATCCTGTATTCTTTCCAGGAGACACGGGGATGGGGATGGGGGTCGGGGGTGAGATTTTACACACGGTTTCATCCTCGGTAACACCTCAAACAAGAACTTGCTCTTGACCAAGGAGTAATTTAATGGCAACGGTTTGCAAACAATACCGTTTTGGCAGGCGTTTCTTATTTTCGGTAAAAGGTGCAAGAAATATGCAAGATTTTATATACACGTAAATCTTGTCTTTTAGTTAAAAAAAAAAAAAAAACACCCCTGAAGCTTTTTGGGGGGAAACCAGAAAGGGAAAGAAATCGGACTTCGGGTCAAAGATCAAAGAGTCTGGTACTCACGAAGTAGTACAGCAGACGCAGGACGAGGAGGAGGGACGCGAGGAGGGAGCGGTGGCTCCCGTGCGGGGTCTATTAATTCACTTTTCTCTCCTCGGTTCACATCCTGCGCGGACTCCACCCAAAGCGACCGAGCGAGGGGGTGGGTGGGACTCACACAGCCCAGCGAATAACAGCCCCAGAAACCGAAACGGAATCGAGGTGAATTGTGAAAACACGGCTCACCAGAAAGAGGGGTGGGGACGGGGCGCGAGAGGGGACCCTTCCCTCGGCTGGTGAGGCACCCCCTGTCCTCGCTGCCTCCCGGGGGCGCCCCCTCCCCTCGATCGCCTCCAGTTCCCTCCCCCGGTCCGACACATGGGAGGAGGAAGGCACTGCACCGAGCAAGGCCACTCGTCCCCGGAACGTGGGCGGAGAACACACAAGCCTCCCCGAGCGATTCTGAGAGAGAGATCGAGGGGCAGCCACCTGGGAGAGGCGGGGGAAAGGAGGAAAGGAACCCGACCGCGGAGCGGGGGACGGGGACGAGAAGAGGTAGGCTGCTAGGGCGGGCGCCCCAGGAAAGAGGGGCTACCTGTTGAATGGAACCGGCCCCGCGGCGGCGGAGGGGGAGAGGAGCGAGCAAGCCCAGCGAGCGGACCGCCGGCTCCGGGGCAGCCCGCGGGAGCCAGGGCGATCCCAGCCCCAGTGCCTGCGGGGCCCCACCCTGGGAAGCCCTGGCCGCAGATACGGAGATGAGAGACACCGACAGAAGAAAGGGGGAGGCGGCCGACTGGAGCCGGGCTGGCCAGCTCTTGCGGTTAGTCACTCACATCTGATACTCGTCTATCGCCTCCACCAGCTGGCCCCAAGAGTCGAAGTCGGCGCCCCTCCTAAAACTGGCGCCCCAGCGCTGCAGCAGACTCCGGGTCACCTCCGACATGGCCGGTGCCCACCCCGTCCCCTCCCGCCCCTTCCCCAAAGAGGCCGGGCTCTAGGGCGCCATCCTCCCCGGGCCTGGCCCCGACATTAACAGGGCCAGATGGAACCGCTACGGCCACCACCGCCACCCGCCGAGGAGCCGCCCAAGCCCATTTGCCGCCACAGCCAAACTTTGCGGCTCCGAAGCGGCCGCCCCGCCGAGGCTCCGCCCCCGAGGCCCCGCCCCAGTTAGGTTGAGGCCGCCCCGCTCCCCCGAGGGCCGCCATCGCTATTGAGGCGTTCTTCCTCGGCGTGGGACGCTCGGCCGCCTCCTCTCTCCGTCTCGGGAGAAGAGAACTGCAGCTCACGAGGAGAGACTGGGGAAGAGCAGCTAGGACAGTGCTAAGGAACGGGGTGTTCTGAAGGGGCCGCGACACGCGGCACCTCCGCCCCTAAGCGGCGAGCACTGCCGCCTCGGTAGCTGTCATGGCGGCCCGGGCCACGTGACCCCGGCTCTGCGCAGGCCTGGTTTCCCGCGGCTCTGGTTCGGCAGCCCCGGCTCCCCGCCTCCCTCCCCGTCTCGTTGACAGACTCGGACGTTTGCCTTTCTCCCATCAGGAGGACTGCTGCACCGACTCCCGAGAAATCCAGTAAGTTTGTCACGAGAATGGGCGTTTCCCGGTAATCCCCCTACCCCTGGCTTGACCCCGGAGTCCCAAGCGATAGGGTCACCTCCCCTCCCTTAACACTGTAAAACAGTCTCTATAGATTCCCGGATACGAGTCCAAAGTAGTCTCCTAATGCCTTGAAAGAAACGAAAGAAAGAAAATGAATGTTGGCTCCGCGAACCAATCGTATCAAAGGACAGACTCTCCGAAACCCTTTGCCCGCGTCCCCACTGGCAACCAGGGACCTTAGAAACTAAACGGGCGCTTGTTCCGCGGGGGTCCGCCCGCCTCGCCCGGGTGGAGAGCATCGGCTGTCCACAAAAATGCCTGTTCGGCTGAGGGACTCCGAGGGCTGGCGCCTGCGCAAGGCCGCCGCGCGCCGACTGCGGGACGGGCTGGGGAGGAAGAGGCTGGGTGGTAAACAGGAAGTGGGCGTTCCGAGCTCGGGGTGGGGGGCGGGGTTCAGGTAGGTTCCTCTGGGGGCCCGGGGCCTCGCGAGTGCGGGACCCCTTTCGGTGATCCGAGGCGGAGGAGGTAGCAGCGTCGAGCCGACCGTTGTGCTTGCGGCTCTGAGGGCACCGTGGCAGCTGCGGGTGGGTGTGTCGCTGCGCTGGCCCCCTTCCGAGTCCCTGAAAACAGGAATGGCCGGTCTCCGAAGGGGCAAGATGGGTCCCGGCCCAGAACACAGTACTCACCCTCTTCGTTCCTCAAGAGACCCAGAACTGCAGACATTTTCATCCAGGCAGTGGAGGGCCGCCTGAAAAGAGTATCAGTAGACAGTTTGGTGTCTCAAAGTCAAGCGTATTGTGTGCCATTGCGTCTTTACATGCACGTACATGGTGTATTAATTTACTTCTGTTATAAAGTTAATACAGGGCTGTTGTTTGGAGGGTTGTATATATTTTTAAAAGAACTCTTAAATGTTTTGAGTCCTAAGTGAACTTGCTCACTTTTTCATTGAGCATACAGTGCGTTGAATATCTGGTGGTGTCGTGAATAGGTAAATTATTTTAAGGGACGTGCTCAAGTAGGTATTTCATATACTATACAGTCCACGGAAATTTTTCCCCAGGAAAAAAAGCCAACCAACAACATTGTATAATGTCTTTCAGTTAATTATTCCTTATGAGAATTTCTTGCCTGTTGGTTCCCGGAATCTAACTGCCACATTTAAGTGTTCCGCTACGCCTTCTGTATTTGCATTATCTACGCAGACTTTTAGGCAACTGATGTGCTGGTTGGGTTTTGTTGTTGTTGTTTTAAACAAAAAGGAGTGGAACTTAATTTTTTTTTTAATGTTTTATTTTGGTTTTGAGAGAGCAAGACGAGTGTGAGCAGGGGCGGAGGCAGAGGGAGACACAGAATTTGCAGCAGGCGCGAAGCTCTGAGCTGTCCCCACAGAGCACGATGTGGGGCTCAAATCCATGAATGGCGAGATTGTACCCTGAACTGAAGTCAGACGCTTGACTGACTGAGCCACCCAGGTGCCCTGGAACCTAATTTTTTTAAGTTGGCATTTTAGTTAGGTAGTTCTTCAAATATTTTGGGTTTTATAGGATAGAAGTCATTGATCAAGTATCGTGGGGTTTTGTTTTTTAATGTAAATACTGATTCTTATTAGCTGTTTCATGGAAAGTATATGTATTACAGAAACATGTGCTATAACTAATTCATTGGCATAAGCAATACTGTGTTGGAAGTAGTTCATTTAAAACCTATTTATTTTAAGTAACCTTAGCAGTCCAAATAAAGGTCATTATTTGTACCTGTTTTGGAAATTACGTTCTAGTCCTGTGACCTCCGTACCTGCAGCTACCCAACCCAATTCCAATACTTGGCTATTCAAAAGGGTGGCCTGGACCAGTAGCATTGGCATCTCAGGTCCTACCTAGACTGTTGAATTAGAATCAGCATTTTAACAAGACCCACATTCCCCCCATGCTAAGGTGACTTCTATGCACATTAAACTCTAAACATTACTGCTCCAGTATATTAACATTGGCCGTTAACTGTGGACGGATTTACAAGTGCTGGTTTTTTACAGGCTTGATCTAAACATAAACTACAATAATTAGGGAGCGCCTGGGTGGTTCAGTTGATTGAGGGTCCCACTCTTGATTTTGGCTCGTCATGATCCCAGGGTTGTGGGATCAAGCCCCACGTTGGGCTCCACGCTGAGCCTGGAGCCTGCTTATGATTCTTTCTCCCCCTCCTTTCCCCCACTTGCATGTGGTCTCTCTCTCTGTCTCTAAAATATAGAGTACAATAAATAGACATTAGAACAAGATTCCTGGCAATAAAGCATTTTATATATGTGTATCCTTCATATGTGTATATACTTTAAAAATATATACACATATTTTTAGTAGACCTTTAATTATTTTTATACTGTTTACATTATTAAATGTTTTGTGTTTAACTTGTATACATTTCCTTTTTTGTTTATAGGAAACATCTGGAAAAAATGACACATTGGTTTCATAGGAACCCATTGAAAGCCACAGCTCCTGTCGCTTTTAACTACTATGGTGTAGCTGCTGGCCCTCCTGCTTCAAAAATTTGCAGGTTAGTTTTAGTCAATCTCAATAACTACTGATGGAGCCACTTTTGGATACAAGGTACTTTTTAGGTTTCATGGGCAATGCAGAAATACGTAATACGTTGTCCCTGTCCTGAGACGACTTCTAAACTTATAAATGATGTGTGAAGAGTTAAATCACAGATAATTTAAACTTTGGCAGTCATCTAGCCTGCAGTCCTTAATTTTGGATCAGGGAGTCCCAGAGAGGCTGAAACAATCACAATGAAAGAGTTAAGTTATGTATTACAGAAGTACAAGAGACTCCACAAAGTTGTATATGGATATTAGTTAGCCATTAGTAGATTAATTGGCTACTGGTTAATTAATTAGCTATCTGATTAATTAGTCAGATAGTAGATTCATGGAGTTCTGATCAGGGAGAGATCCTGATGACCGAGAATGGGCTTTAGAGAGTTCATATAGAAGAAAGAGCTTGAGGGGTTTAAATAAATCACATGCCTCAGTTCATGGGTTGGCAAACTGTTCTGCAGATTTGACCCACTGCCTATTTTTATAAATAAAGTTTTATTGGAACACAGCCATGTCCCCTCACCCCACTTACTTACATGTTGTCTCTGGCTGTATTTGCTGCTTTCCTCTATAGCAGCAGAGTGGGGTAGTATCAGCAGGGACTCTATGACCCACACAACCTAAAATATTTACTTTTAGGCTCATTATAGAAAATGTTTGCTAATACTTGATTTAGATCGTGAGAAGGGACAAGAGAAAATCATTTCTATAAGGAAGACTTTTATCCTAGGGGTAGTAGAGCAGTTTGGAACAAAAGAAAGAGATGCAAGAGGTATTTCAAAGGAGGAGTCAACTGGCCACATATCTAATTTGCTCTGTGAAGTTGAAAAGGATTCAGGCTGCATGGAATGCAGAACCTACATGATCAAGACCTTGATGGTACCAGTAATGGAAAATTGAGAGTGTTGCTGCTTTTTATGGAAAGAAGCAAATTGGAGCACAAGATAGGAAAACTGGCTTATTAATCTAGATCAGAGGTCATCAAACTGTTTCTGTAAAGTGCTAAGTAGTAAACATTTTAGGTTTTGTGGGGCCTGTATACAGCTGCTGTTGCATATTCTTTTTAAAATCTTTGTTTTTTTATTATCATTTTTCTTAAATAATCTCTCTACCCAGTGTAGGGCTCAAACTCATGACCCCGAGATCAAGAATTGCATACTCTACCAACTGAGCCAGGCAGGCTCCTCTGTTGCATATTCTTTGTCGATTTTTTCAAACACAAGCTATGGGCGATACAGAAACAAGTTAGAGGTTGCAGTGTGCCAATCCGTGATCCTAGACTCCTAGAGGTTGGTCCCAGCTTACCGGTTTTATCTGTAGCATTGGGCGAGTCTCTTAACTTCTTTGAGTCTAATTATTCACCTATAAAATAAACAGCCTAAATTAGATGTTTATAAGGTACATTTTTCTGAAATTCTTTAATTTTAACGTGAATGTAACTTTACTCAGTTGGGTTGCAGATGATTGCCTGCCTGCTTGGAAGTAGCTAGCAAACTATTTGAGTATAGAGTAGGCCTTAAGAATTCAGTTTTTTTCCTAGTCTGGGAATTACTCCTGCCTAGCTTCTAGTTAAATAACTCAACAATGACACATTAATAAGGTAAACCATCCCATCTCAGGTCAGCTGTATATAGTTGTTGGTATATGCTTTCTTGGAATAAGCTTTCATGGAGCTGATACCAGTGTGCAGACATTCTATCCAGACCATTTAAGATCAAGTCTGCACTCTTTTCTGAATATCACTGCTACATTATAGCCTTTGTAAATCTTAAAGTATTTTAAATGCTAGTAATATTCTTTTACTCAATGAAGAACTTTGCGTATGTGCTTTATCCTAGGCACTTAAAAGTTCTGGATATGTAGCCTCTAGTCTCTCAGTGCTTACAATTTAAGTATAG